GCAAATCTATAATTCTCAGTAGCAGATAAAAGCCTATAAAACTATATGGTCAGAGATTCTGTGTACAGTTTCCTAAAATGTTCTTATGACTCCCTGTTTCTAAGTAAAGAGGAGCATTTGTATTGTATTTTGTGTCATTTTAGATATTCATATAAAGTTTGGATTCTTCTCTTTATCCTTAGCGTGAACATGCAAGTTCAAATGCAGATGCAACAGCGCCAGTTCACAGGCCTTGTTTTTGCAATAAATAAACATACTACGTTTTTTTTCTCCAATGCAGGCCATGCAATAAAATAAAAAAACATATTATAAGAGAATAAGTTATTCGCAAGGGAACATAACTATTTAAAGACATGAAATGCATTTAATTTGAAGTAACATCACAGTGTGCCAACATGTATTGTCAAAAACTTCCCTCAGTGACACATCTATTTAAATAGTAGTCAAACAAACTCTGCGGCTGGGGCCACTATACCAGTTTTAACAATACAAGCAGGGACTTGTGCAGTGCTGCTCACTTAAAGGGTGGGGTCCTGGAAGAACTGTTGGTGTCTGATATGAGGGGCTGCATCGCCATCCTCCTTTTGTCTATTATGCCTAATAGTCAAACTCTGGCAAGGAAGTAGCAACGTTCTATGTACAGTGAAACTATATATTCATAACCTACACATTATTGGCAAATCGCATTTCATATACATTTTAAGATACAACAAAGACACAAAAGCAGAACTGTCTATAACGAAACAGGAAATGCTCTTGAACCAAGGTAAGCTATTCAACCGTTCAGGTTTCTAATAAAGAATGGCTTTGGAAACAGTCACAGGGAAACTGAGGATATAACACAGGAAAAGCCAACATACTCATCACTGGCATTTAGCAAGGCAAGTAGGAAATCACAGCAAACACTTCCTTTTCTCATGACTTATTGGGAAAACATCTTTATCCAAACAAAAAACAAGTCCAAAGCCATTCATAGGGAGAGGCACACAACTGCACCTCCTTGCCAAATCACAAACAATTATTCAAAAGTTACTAATTATTCATTGACTGAATGAGCAAGAGTAGTTTATAAAGTGTCAAGTAACACAAACTTACACTACATGACATTTGTTTTAGTATAGTCTGAGTCTTGCACATTTTTCATTAACATTACATCGAAAAAAAAAAAAAGGAAGTCTTGTGCACGCATTTGAAGAAATTACCTCGCACAACCCATCAAGTTACCCCAAAAGCCTTTGTCCCAGTCATGTTTTGGTTAATAATACAAAAAAGGTGCGTCGGAATTTGTTCTCTAGTTTATAGCAGGTTACCACCACTGGCTTGAAACGCATACTGAGGTCATAAAGTCCTTTGGTAAATTAAAACACATAACTAAGCCCAGGTTGCAAGTTTAAAAGTACAGACCTACAAACGTATGTGATTTCCTTGAACTCAAGCCCAAACATTATACAGATGGTGGAGAAATGAACTGTCCTTCTTTTAGTCAAGATGTGTCTCCACTTTAAGAGAACAAGGTCCATACTCAATAAAAGAAACAAGAGCTCAAGCAAGTACCTGTAAATCCTCTGTCTCAAAGGTCTGAACGTTGTTTCCCTTATTCAGCCATAAAGAGGGGAGATATAGGCATTTTACATGCATTTGCTTTTAAATGCATGGGAGAACTGCACACTCATTCTCAACAATGTTAACTGGCACAATAACAAATGGTGTCAGCAATAATGACATTTTAATGACTTTATTTTGTATTGACTGACCTGAGTGTGAGGAACTGTGAACCGGCTTTTAACCCCAGTTAAAGCTGCAAAGCTAATTTAGCATGCTATAAATCCATCAGACATTTCAACCATAACATAATTTCAAAATAGGGTTAAAGGCAGTTTATCTATTTATTTATTTTGTAGATCTACTTGAATAAAACAAGTAGTTTGACAGTTATCTGTGACGGCGGGCTAAGAGGAATCATAGCAAAGGTGCATGCTACCAAATATGTATTTCATAGATCAATTAAATTACATCTAAAAGTAAAAAGCAAGTAAATTACAAATATTTACTCTGGGTGGTCAACACTAGCTTAGCAGAGTGATAAGCTAATTTAGCACGTAGTTTGAATACTGTTTTATGTTAAAAATATTAAGCTAACCAAAATGTGTTTGTCCATCTAGCTTATCGTTAGCTATGACAGCTGGTCAAATTAAAACGCCCCTCAATAACTTGGATAGCATACAACTGACTAGCATGTATAACGTCAGTTGTGCTAAGCAGTTTGCCAACAACTTACTAACTAACGTCGACGAGCTAACGTCAGTATTGACATTGGCAGTTTCTTAGCATTAGCACTAGCTTCCTAGCGTGAATTGCCGACAAAACAATAATGCTTAACTCTGGTAAACGAATACTGGCTATTGGTGGTGTTAGCTAGGTTAGCAGCGCAAACGTCATTAGACAACTTTCCTTTTTCTCGGCCCCACGTCGTCTGCTTTTTGACATTGGACAAACTGGAGGACTCAGACTTGTAATTGTGTCTGCTTCTGGCAGATACATTTGTCTTATGCCTCTAAGTACTATGTGTGCCAATGCTTATTTGACATATGATGTGGTCTCACAGGGATAGGCACTCTGCCTCTGTGGATCCTGTCTGATGGACATTTCGGCTGAACCCGGACTTTGCTAATCGGTTGACCAAAATGAGACAAAGCGTGTCCAAATACGGTTAACAGCTCTTCGAAAAGAAAGTCCAACATGCGGTCAATGTCCCTATTCACAGACATATTATATATGTTTAAGTTGTTTGACTTACAGTACTTTTTCTTCTTTCGTTGGTCTCATCGGAGACGGCTGTCTTCTTCTTCTGAGGCTCTGGCCTTCCTTTCCGGTTAGCGATTTTTCCGGGAACGACCCACTTTTTGTCAGCGGCAGTTTGACCAATGAGAGCAGCAGCAGCACGAGACACCACTGTCTGCCGCACCGAGAGGCGTTCAGGGTCCTCCGGACACAGTCTTGATTTTAGAGATTTAGAAATATATAATGCACCAAATCATCAATATGCTGGATACATGATCATAATCCGGTTTATATTTAAGATAACTGCACCTTTCTATGTGACTTGAATACAGAGATAATGTAATTAAGTACATTTACTCAATAACTGTACTTAAGTACACAATTAGAGTACGTGTATTTACAGTAACATATATTGTTTTTATGTTATTGGACATTTATTTATTTGTTGGATTGTTAATTGTGTATCTGGATAATGCAAATTAAAACGTTCTATGTATGTTTTTCCCCCATTAAACAGGGAACTCCACTAAGGTAAGAGGAATTAATGAATGTGATAATTGATAGCTATATAGATATATAAACATAACATTTAAATACATATTTACAAAATAAACAAAACATATACAGATAGGGGATATTAATATATTATGATGATACATTTTTAGTAAAGGACCTTTACTTGTAACAAGGCCCGTACCCAGGATTTCCTAAATATTGAGTTCCAAACATGGGGGGTTCGGGGGCATACATTTACAAGTTGTAGCAGAGTATTATCTAATAGTATTTAGATAAAATATCTGAGTACTTCATCCATACGTTTGAATAAAGGGGTTGGCCCTTTTTTCTCTTTCAAAAGTCTTTACTAGTACCATTTTCATTAGTTAAGTACTATTCGTCACTCCTGGGTGAATGTACTCACCTTGTGTTCATTTTCCTTTATTGTTCTGCGGACCTGATGAACATGCACAAACAAAGAAAAAAGATGAGTCTGAAGGTGGAATCTAGGACTCCCTTTAATGAATCTATCTCAGAAAAAAAAAACATTTCAAAAGAGTGTCAACTCCAATCATGTGATAAACATTTACAATGGCAAATTGACACAATGATGCATGCAGCCTTAAATTATGTAGATTATTAGAGTGATAATGTAAATAATCAGACACTGTGTTTATCCGCATGTTTTTGTTGAACATTATGATCCAGGGATGTTCTCGTATGATGAGCTAGTCAGATGTTGTTGAAGGTTGGATCTTATGAGCTGTAATTTGTCTTTTGTACAAAAAGATGCTTTCCCTTCTTTAACATTGGCCTTTTAGTTTTTTTACCTAACACTAATGTTCATTAGAATTACAGCTAACATTCCCGTTATACACTAATGAGGTCAGGATTTAATGTAAAATTCTACGGGGTTACATAAGGGCTTGAATGCAGTGCTTTACCCTATTAAGAACACATGCTCTTGTTGTTTAGGACTATAAGTGTCTAGTGAGGTTAACAAAGGACACTTAGGGAGGGATTACAGTGTGTTTAATTGTCTTATTATTACCAAAAGTTGCCTAAATTGTTGATCAGGATAAAAAAGGTCACACCCCCAGGAATGATGAGGTCAAGGCTTTAGACATAGAAAGTTGCAACTCTCTTGACCTGATAACCTTATCTTGCTTGAATACTGGAGCACGTAAATCAAATACTGTATATATTTTTATATATAGCCCCCTCCTCGATATAGGCTACTATAAAATCTTGCTGGAGTATGTTTTCATTTTGAAGGAGTGCTGTGAAAAAACACTGGTATTGTTTAAAACAATACATTACTGCATTACTAGTTTTTCCAAAAATGAATTAAAATAAGATAAATAAATATCCCTTTAACATTGAAATTATTTTAAAGGCCATACAGCATAGTCGAGCTCTGGTCTGATAAGTACATGTGTTCCTATAAAGGCAAAGAAACCTGTACAAACAAATATTATCAAAATAACACACTTCTGCAAGTGTACAGAGCAAAATATTGTGATTATCCTCATTAAATGTACAGTTGTGCTCCTTTCTTCCGTTTATCCGTTTCAGAACGAGTATGTTTTTTCCTCTGTGCTGTGTGATAAGAGATCAGCCTTTTGTAACACACTGTCTCCACTGTGTGGCGCCTCATACCTGTATATCATAACTTGAGCCTGAGTAACCTTTCATTCTTTTATGAAATATGTACAATAATTGTATCTCTTGCTAATGCTTTACTAGTGAACCTGCTAACATATATCCAAATAGTACCATTAAACCCTAAAGAGAAAGTGTGTGGTGCATGTCTTGGTGGAGGGAGCAGCAGGGAGCATTTTATTTGATGGTATCTGAAGGAAGAATTAAGTCATCATTATAACAGATTAACAGAAGATAGTGAGGTCACCAGTATGGGCTTTATATGTCCTCTACATCCAAGAGAGGTGATTGCACTTCTACAGTTGGAGAACTGCAACTCATATCCTGAGATTCAATATTGTTCGTCCTCTCTTGGTACAGTGAAGCTCTGCAGTCTCTGTCTGTTTCCGGCCCCGTCAGAGAACAAGGAGGGTCCTGTGGGAGGTGGGTAGGGCTGGATCCAACTAGGTCATTTTGCCTTGGGCCATTGACAGAGCCCTGGTGGCACTGGCTGTGCCCTGTGCATGTTGAAGAGTGGACTGACGGAGTGAGAGTGCTGAAGGTAGAGTGATACTGCAGCCGGCCAGTGTTATACATGGAGGAATGGATGGGTGTCTGATTTTGTGTGGGACCAGAGTTGGTTTGAACATCCAGAGATGGATGGGAGAAGCCAGAATTCACAGAGGAACACAGAGGGTGTGTGTTGCTCATTGTTGTAATAGAGGCATTGTATTGGACCTGTGGAGCCTGACAAACCACAGGGAAGCTACTGAAGGAAGGGCTGTGGCCTAGGAGGGATGGATGTGGGTGGGTCGTGTAGGGAGAGTTTGGAGTTGTTCTTGAAGTTTCCCTGTCAGAGCAGCACAGGTGTACACAGGAGGACACAGGGATGGAAGAGTGCAGCAAAGTTGGACTTCTACCCTGAGAGGGAATACCACTGCAGCCCAACACATTTCTGGCAGGGTGACTAATTGCTTCATGGTGGAGGTGCAGACCGGTGGCAATATTTAAAGGGACGTGGGGCTGCCAGTTGCTGGAAGCACTCACACTAGGACTGGGAACCATTTGTATGCCATAAGAGGCATGAGGTGCATGCTGCATGGACATATGAGACTGTAGGAAATGCATTATGTCGTGGAGCTCCTTGGCCAGGTTGGACACTTCGTGGTTCAGGTTGCTCACCTGAGAAGAAAATAAAAAAAAGTTTGCTGTGGGGCATATCTGTTTTTTTAAATTATTTGAAATAACTAATAAATGACAAAAATATGTGATACACCTGGAGAAAAAAGAAATTGCAGTAAAAATAGCAGTATGTTTACTACCCCATAACACTGTAACACATTTGGCAAAAGAATGTACTGATAATTCTGTATAGCCAGATCATTTATATATTTTGACTTTTTCAAGAGCAATGTTAAGGTACTTAGTATTATTCACTCAAAGTATTTTGATAATTTATACTTACACTTCACTACATCTATGAGGCAAATAGTGTACATTTTAACCCACATTTATTTGAAAACTGTACCTCTTTGTTCAGTTTGCTGATGTTCTGTCTCACTTCCTCTGTCTCCAGAAGCAGGTGAGCACTCACTTGGAACTGGTCTACAAAAGAATGAAAACAAAGCAGTACAGCTGAACTGAAATAAATAACCCATAATATATCAGGACATCTAGCCTCAAATTAGTATGGTTATAAGTACTGCTTAAATGTAGAGCAATTATGTACAGTATAAATATCTGATGATGATTAGTTAATCATACATGTAGGTTCCTGGAAAGTTATTTGAATCAAATTGTCTGCTATTTAATTTTTTCCAATTCGTTTCACCTTACCTGTTATATTAGTCTTTGTCTCCCTCTGTTCTACATTAAATTGAAATGTGTGACCATTGTCCTCAATTCCATCCACGACCCTGGCAGAGACACAAATCAGTGTTACTACATAATCATGAAAAAGGTGCAAGAGTGATTGCTGATTTATATTTGGGTTATTAACAGGTTACCTGGGGCTAAGGCTAGGTGGGCTAACACAGCTCAAGGATGGCATTAGTAGATCGGCAGGCCGCTGGTTGAAGGACTGGTCGCTGCCAAGACTGGGCACAGGAGAAGGAGAGAGCTCCTGATTGGTGAATGACTGATGAAAGGGGCTGTGGCTTCTACCGCCCTGAACAGGGGAGCCACAGTTGCGGAGTGCACTGATGTGGCGGAGCTCATCCCCTAACATGGTGCTGAGGCAGGGCTGACGCACAGGGCTGCCTGCTCCATGTAACAGGGGCACTTTCCTCTGCTGATAGTGCCTCAAGTCTTCTCCACGGTCACCATCATCTGCCTCAACAATATAGGGCAGTTTATGGTCCATAGCATGACCCTGAAGAGACAATAGATTGAAAATTCGATGTTTCTTTGATTTGTGGAAAACAATTTAAGGCTGAGTGACTCTTAACACTTCACTTTTCTAGACCCATCATTTCAAATGAACACTAAAACCTTAAACATACTGTAAAAGAAAAGGGTTGCTCATGAGATTGTGGGAATTAGTTTCCCCTGCTTGCTAATACTAAATTATATTGTTCCTGTCTCTACCTAGAATAAATCTATTATAAACAAATAAATACAAAAGAAAAATGGTGAAAAATATAGAAATATAACACATATTTGCATGTATAGAAAATGGTAAATCTACATTCAAAGCAAAGCTTTCTCCTCTGTAACAGACCAGAAAACTAAAATAGAAAACAAACAGGTACAGTATTGTTACATTTGTAAATGGAATTAAGATATCATTTTCATTTCTACGGTGTATCAGCATGCAAGCTGGAGAGCAGGTCTAGGAAAACTGTCTCGAGGGGAAAAGACACATTATGTGCACACAAACATGAATGAACAAATGTAGCAAAGCCTTCTATGTCTCTGATACAAAAACGGTTTTCTGATTGATTTCTACATTGTTTTATGGGCTTATTTTTGGCTCCTCTTCTTTCAGAATCCTTGAGTTAACTTAACACTTATTTTATCTTAAGATGAATCTCTTCAACATGTAAATAGTCTAATCGGTTTCGATCATTAGGAAGCGGTTTTCATCACTGTTTTTAGCAGCATCATATCCATCTTTATCTCAGCTTTGTGTATGAGTTCAGGCTGTTAATGTTCAATTCTCAACTTTAACCATTACAAGTTTTCAGGATAGCACACTATAGACTTATAATTGTGCTGTAACTGACTGTCAGATGTATCCGGCAGATGAAGGCTGAATTCATTACTTTAGTGATGCGCACATACCTGAGAAAGCCTTGAAGACCATGCAAGCTTTGTTACTCCCTAGAGATTTGAAAGCCAAAATTAGCAAGGTATTACACTCACATTCTTTATTTGGTGGCATAGCCTAGGTATCTTGTTGTTAATGAGCAGTAGGAAATAAATGAAACACTGGTTCAATGAAATATCTGTCTCTGCAGTGTTGTGTTAGCAAATGTCTTCTTACGTCAGCTTCACTGCCCTCTCTCAGGTTGTAGGTGAGGTTGTTGTTGATGTCAGAGCTGAACCGGCTGCCGTACTCTGGATAGAGCAGGAGGACCTCCCTCAGAGCCTTAACACTGATGTACTGCAGGTCACAGTAGGTCAGCGCCTTCACGTCTGCATTGGTCTTAATCACCTGGTCACGATCCGGGAGGTCAGAGCCAATGAGATCACCTTTTCCTGTAGGGATTAAAACAGAGATGTAACTACTTGTGGTGCAACACATCTGAAAGTTACAAAATGAGTAAAAGAGGAAATGTTCAGAGATGGCAAAAGTACACACATCCTTTACTCAAGTAGAAGTACAGATACTCGTGTTAAAGGGCCCATGTCATGGCCATTTCTACTGATTATAATTCCATTGTTGAGGTCTACTAGAATAGATTTATATTGTGCATTTTTCCAAACTCACATTGGTTTCTCATACAGCATCTCTGTAAACTACGTGTATTCACTGAATTTCACTCTCTGCCTTTAACGGCTCGTTGTAGCTCCAAAAGCTCCAGCCCCCACCCTCCCTGTGAGCACAGTGTGCTCTGATTGGTCGGGACATTGTGAATCGCGCTGAGCTCCGTGGAGGTGTTGTTTCCTTGTTAGCGATACACAGCCAAACTCATCCTGAGCACACACAAAGTCACAGCCGAAGTAAAAACAATAAGTGTGGCTTGATATTGAGTAAGAAAAAGGTTGATAAACGCTGTGAGAATGGGTCTGCAGAGAGAATTTTGCCGCGATCCCAACTGTCTGTTATCAGCCTGCAGCCAGGGAGGAGAAATCAGCTGAGCTGCCTGCTCCCTGATGTGTGTGTGAGGAAGTCCTTGGATTGGTCAATTTGGACCAATCAGCGGGGGCTTGACGTAACGGCTCCGCGGACGTAACGTAACGGCTCCACGGATTAGTCCATTTCGTTCCGAGTACGGCTTGACATCATGCCGTACCCGGAACGAAATGGAAGAATCAAATGGACAATGACGTATCTCCAACGAGGCGTTTTGGGGAGGTATTTTCTGTGTTAGAGTTTTACTCGCTACAGGGTGTACTTTGAGGGTTTGTGACTCTGCACACCGTTTACATGCATAAAAACCTTCATAACACACAAGGGGATGGGTAATAACCGGAAAAGCATGACATGGGCCCTTTAAAAAATACTCTGGTAAAAGTACTGACTAAACTTCTTTACTCAAGTAAAAGTAAAGAAGTATGGGCTTCGAAATGTACTTAAGTAAAAAGTACCCATAACTAGCAGCTGTTTTATAGAGTAACCGACCTCCCTTTATATTAATAGAACAATAATGTCATTGTTAGCTAGAATAAGTAATGGATTAAAGTAGAACAATGTACTTAAAGGTCCCCTATTATACTGCTTTTCATCAATATATTATAGGTCTCAGATATATACAAAACATGTCTCTGAAGTGTTTGGCTCCAAATACCAAACAGATCATGCATTGTAGCATCCCATAATCCCCTCTGTTTCAGCCCTGTTTCAAAAGTGCTGATTCTCTGTCTTTTACTTTAGCTGAAAATAAGGTGCCACTCCCCACGCCCTTTTGAGAGATATTTGGTTAAAAAGAACACAAAAGCCGCATTCACACCAAGTACTTTCGTGTACTTAGTTCCGGCACTAAGAGCCCCGGCGCTTTTAACCCCAGGGCACTTAGTACAGATCGCGTTCACACCGGAGTACTTTTCCCTGAGGGAAGATTACGCAAATGAGCCGCTGACGTCACTTCTTCTTCTTCTGCTTTGGCTTTACTGGCAGGCCACAAACCACTTCACGGCGAGTACAGTAGGTGGCGGTATGCACCTTAAAGTTGTTTGCAATCCGCTGCAAAACAAGAGAAGAAGAAGAAAAACTTCTCGCTGTACATTAGGCGTCTGTTCTTTACCTTCCGACCTCAGACATGATGGAGATGGAGTCGACTGAAGTTGTGCTGTTTGTGCTCATGTTATACAGCTTTGTAACGGAGTTAATGCAGCCTGAGCAACTTGCGTACAATAACAAAACAAGCCGAGCACGAGTGGTGGTGGAGAACGCTTTTGGCAGACTGAAGGGCAGGTGGCGGTGCTTGATGAAAAGAAACGACTACAAGATCACAATCCAGGTGGCAGCATGTTGCATATTACATAACCTTTGTGAAAGTAATGAGTACAGGGACGAATGGACTGCCTTACCGGCGACCCAGCTTTATGAGGCATCTGAACAGCGTGTAAATTGTAAACATTTTGACAATAAAGCTAATCTTTTGTACAGTGCTTTTGTTTCTCTTTTATTTTCCAGTCAAGACAGGCAACATTACAATAGTGTACAGTGTGGCAATATAATAACAATAAACTGTGCCAGGTGTGTTGTATGCACAGTAAATAGGCTCAGCAGCAAACCCACCGTTATTAGTATATATATATCTTCCTGAGACCCACTGCATCCGTCTGCCATAAACACTATGGAAACATAAATGTTAGTTTCGGCCCATAGTGGACTCCATTTTGTGTTGTGTAAAATGGGGGGGGGGGAATTAAAGGTTTGCAAATCCCCATGTCCTCCTCAGAGGACAATCATAAAAACATTTAGTTTTAGGTCAAATAATATTTAAAATTATATAAATTATCATATTTGTGTATGTGCCCCTGCCATTCCTCCACAAGGTTGCAACATTGATGATAAATAAATGACAAATAAAGCTTTGCCAGTTTATAACCGATGAAACATGATGGTATCAGAATAATCACTTACATGTGATGTATAGGATGCTACACAGGTCACTAAAGATAAAGTGTCAGGAGAAATAAGCAAGCTACAGGATCTGTTTAACAGTAAATAGAAGTTCACATTTTTCATGTAAATAAAATAGAAGTTGTACATGTAAATTAACATTATCAATATAAAATAAAGTGTCAGTTGTATCAAGACTATATAATAACAGTAATATAAAATGAACTGGTGAGCATCTTGTCCTCCGTTTCCTGGGCCTTGGTGAACAGCACCATCTGATCCCCGTGCATCGACTCTTTCACCACGGCACGCCGGTCCTCCAACGCCTGGGCGGTGTCAAAGAAATTCGCATCCCGTGTCCGCTTTCCTAAGAGGGGAAAATAAGCAAGATACAAGATCTGTTTAGTCGCCATGTAGTTTTACAACATACTAGGAATGTTTTTTTGGTATTTTCACAAATAGAATTAAGGTTTCACAAATCTGAAACTGTGTTATAAAGAATCTTTTGACTCTCTGGGATAATCCAGTCCAGATTTGATGAGTCTAGGTATAGTGGTAGATCAGGACCTGGTCTAATGTGGCCAGGATGCGAAAAAGCACTAAAATCTCTCTTTTTTGTATTTTCACAAATAGAATTAAAGGTTTCACAAATCTGAAACTGTGTTATAAAGAATGTTTAGCCTCTCTGGGATAATCCAGTCCAAATAAATCGGCTATGCAGCGATTTAAGAGGTTCAAACACGGAGGATTGTTCCTTTTTGAAGAGTGCTTCATGTATGCTTGAACTTTGTTTAATGTTGTTGAGGCAAGTTAAACATAAAATATGATGAATATTATGAAATAAACATGATTGTGAACATCAGTTCGATGCGTAACGTTCTTTCAAGACAAAGTTACAGTGTGTGTACCTTTGCGTTTGGTTGCTGGTAAGGAGGACGAGGCGCTGTGATCTAGAATGCAAAGCTCGCTTGTTTCCAATCCCGAGAGTTGTCCATCCTCGCCTGAAACAGACGATTAGTGCCATGAGTTAGTGAAGCAAATTACAGAAACACTGCACAGTTATTCACAAGTCAAAACGTTTTCATAGCGGCCGAGAATATCTAGCTAGCTAGATGTAGCTAGCTCGGGGCCGGTGTTAGCCTATCCAGCCTAGCATGGCTAGCTTGATCTACTGAGCAAATAAAAGTACATCTGAGACCATTATTGTGCAGATTAAAACCCCAGTGCATGTAGTTGATTTTACCTTCGTCGTGGTCGTCATCGTTGGCCACTGAATCCGCCGTTTGTAGTCCTGCCTGAGTTTCTTTATTTTTAGCCGGCTGTGCACGATTCCCAGGTCGAGTGAAAGCTACTGAACTGGCTTCAGTAGCATTCCCTGGGTCGCGTCCTCGGCGTAGATCTCCAGAAGCGCCGACACCTCCTCATCATTTCTTGATGCTTGCCATAACTGCTTTCAAAAACAAACCCAACGCTCCGTTGGTTGGTTGTGTTTTTGTAGCGAGGAAAAACAATGGCGTCTCCACACAACATTTTCACTGTTGTACGGGCGTGGTTTGCAATTCGCCCAGCCAATCAGCACTGGGGCACTTTTGGGGCACTTTTCACCCACAGAAAAGTACGCTCTCCCAGCGGGCTCTAAAAATGGGGGTAAAAGTACCCGAGATTATGTACGATTTTTGGTGTGAACGCGACATAAGGGGTACTCACGGAACTAAACGCGAAAAGTACGGTGAAAAGTACTCCGGTGTGAACGCGGCTTTTAAAGGCGCTTTCACACCGGAGTACTTTTACCCGTACTTTTCTCGTTTAGTTCCGATAGTGCCTGGAATTTTGCGTTCACACCAAAAAGAGAACTTAGTTCAGAGAACTTTTACCCCCATGTTGAGTGCCTGCTAGAGAGGTGGTACTATCCTGGGGAGAAAGAAGTACCAATTTCTGATTGGCTGGGCGAATTGCAAACCACGCCATTTGCTGGCATTAGCATTATTAGCATTAGCATTAGCCCAGCGAACCAACGGAGAGAGAATAACTTATGGCAACACAAAAAAAAAACATGGGAGTGGTGGAGTGCTGAGGAGGTGTCGGCGTTCTGACGATTTACTCAGAAGGCTTCAGTAGAAGCTGCTGGGAGTCCCAGCAGCTTCTACTGAAGCCAGTCCCCAACTCCGGGGACTTCCGGCCGGGGACTTGGGGTGGCAGTATACGCCGTGAAGTTGTTTGCGGCCTGCCAGTAAACCCATAGCAGAAGAAGAAGAAGTGGCGTCAGCGGCTTCATTTGCGTAATCTTCCCTCAGGGAACTTATTCCGGTGTGAACGCGATCTGTACTTAGTTCCATGGGGGTACTAAGTGCTGGGCACTAAGTGCTGGGCACTAAGTACGGCAAAGTACTTGGTGTGAAAGCGGCTAATGGTGCTCTAGGAGGAGATTCAGGTGATAATGTGGGGGGGGGGTTACCTTGATTGGTTATTGGCTAATGGTTACACAAGCCAAAAAAATCGGCATCATAAAGTGGCCAAAATCTGATCAGCTCATTTTCAGAGCAGGTATTTATATAAATGGATCAGGACAAAAAGTGAGCAAATCTTTTTTCCTGAAACTTTCCGAATCTCTTTCATTTAATTTCAATTTTTACACAGAGGGGACACATGTTTATGTATAAAAGACGTGAACAAGTGGATTTTGCATAATAGGTGACCTTTAAGTACAGTAAGGAAGTATTTGTACGTAACTCCACTACTTCCCACCTCTGGAAATGTTTTACACTTGTTGCACACTAACCCAGGATGGCCAGAACCATGCCATCTTTTAGAACCTCCAGGGAGCCAGAGCAGACAAAATAATTGGCCTGCAGGGCGTCTCCGTGGCGTATGAGGTATTCCCCAGGTGCACAGAAAGAAGTCTTGACGTGCAGGGACAGGGAGCGCAGGCACCCTCTGCTGGCGCGCTCAAACACAGGCAGCTGCAGGATGTCCTTGTTCAGATGCATGGCGATGTCAGCTCGCAGTTCATCTGGGAAGTCATGCAGCAGCTAAGAAAAAGGTCAATAAAAAAAAAAGTCTTCAATCACCACTGGAATGCATTTGAAGCTGAAACGCATATACTACAGTGCTTCAGGACATACCGCCACCTCACTATCTCTTTTCAATGGTGTGCTTCCTTACCCTGTCCCACTGACTGAATGCCTTTATGTAGCTATTGCACACAAATGTCCATGAAAAAGACAAAATGCAGCATTACAAAACTTTAAAGAGCAACAGAATGCATGCTGTCTATTTTAAGAAATTTGATTTGGTCATGTTTTGTACACTGTAAGGCTCTGTATCCGTTTCTAAGCTCTATTGGGAAGAAGCTTAATTTTAACACTGAATCAAATGATTCCATGAAATGAGAAAGTGTCACTAGTTGATTCAAACACTAACTTCTTGTCTACAGTGGCCGCATAACGAAAGCAGCACGACTGCAGCAGCAGCTGGGTAGGGAAGCTGAAACTTTGAAATACCCAGAGATAAGATTTCTATTGGAATTGGAGATTTTCATCTGCTGCTACTTTAAGCAAGGATTTAAATACTCCTTTCAAAGGGGCACAGATTGTGGTATTGAAGGTTGATGCACTCACATGATGTGCCAAGCTGCTCAGTAAAAACAGACACGAGGTGTTAACGCCAACAAGTTCTCAGAAATTGGTGGCTGTGTCTGTTACCTTCGACAGTGAATAAATCAACTACAGATGGTGGCGGCGAGGGTGTTAATGAGTATACTCACTATATTTCAACTCCAACTCCTATCATTAAAGGAATGTTGCTCTTGATCAGTTCTGTTATTGGTACTGTAGTTCTAAATGTGTGCCATCTACTTAGGGACCCATTTTAAAATTCTGAATCTCAAATCTAGCGCAACCACAAAATGTATTTTTCTGCATGAAGAGGACATTTTTACAGCCCACACAGTCCACAATTTACATATTAAACACTGAAAGAAACTCACTTTAATCGGAAAACTTCTCACTTAATAATTCAATTAATATTAAATTGGTACATTTCAGATTCTACACCCACCTCATTGGCGTTGATGCCATTATTGACGGACCAGGTTGCCTGAAAGTACTCCAGCATCCTCTGCTTCAGCAGCTGAGGCAGCCGATGCACACGGTTGAAGTCCTTCAGATCTTTCATCCGGGTGTGGTAGAGAGAGCGCCGTGAGTACATGCGCTGGATGATGGCTGTCACATTGCCGAAGACCACTGCATGCATCAAGGCTGGGGGTGGGAGAGGGGAGTAACATTAGGATAGTCTCACATATGTATAATAACTCTTGGCATTTCGTAGTGATCACTAGTTAAACTCACCACCCATGAGCATTATGCAGATGGAGAAGATCTTCTCAGCGTCCGTATTGGCACACACGTTGCCAAATCCGACACTGGTGAGGCTACTGAGGGTGAAGTAGAGAGAGGCGATGTAGGCGCTAGGGATGGAGGGACCCCCCAAGGTGCGGTTGAAGTATGGTGTCTCCAAACGTTTTCCCAACTCCTGAAGCCAGCCTTGAAAATAAGGCCAGAAGATGGTTGTATAAGATTCATTTTAGATGACTAATCAAACGAGTCTTCTTCAATGGATGACCCTTTCTTCTTTGATGGGTGATATAATTTAGAATGATATAATACATCACTGGTGATATAATGGCATTATCCTGTGACCTAAACTTCCTCCGTGCTTAGCGGAGGACACAAGCTAGAGGTTGAAATTATGCTGAGGCATTCAGGCATTCAAGCATGACGAGGATGTGCAGTTCCGGCCCTTTAGGGTTGCCACGAGAGACAAAGAAATGTCTCTGTTAAGCTTAATGAGCAAGGGAGACATTGTACTTTTAATAAAGGGGTGTCGAAGCGTTCAAACACATGACCACATACACGCAATGTGCTCACCTATTTCCCAGGTTACGGGGTTACTGCTTTCTATCTCCTTGCGTCCGATGATGTACCAGACACAAGCCATCCAGTGAGCCAGCAGAGCAAACACAGACATGAGCAGGGTCAGGACCACCGCGCTGTACTGGGAGTATCGGTCCAGCTTCTGAAGCAGGCGCAGCAGACGCAGAAGACGAACCGTCTTCAACAAGTGCACCAGCGAGGTCTGGGAGAACAGATAGGAAGGAAGAACATACAAACTTGAACCAATTGTAGCAATTTAAAAACCTTAGAGCTGCAATAATTTGGCCTAGTCAATTTAGTCATTTATTGGGAACTTTTTTGGTAAACTGTTAATGATTGATTTTTTTTTCTTTCGAGCAAAAATGGCGAGGCAAATGCGAGGATTTCCCACCTTCCTCTGTGTTACATATTGCATTTATGTATTTAAATAATATTTTTTGGGTTCTGAATGGACAAAACAAGACATTTTTAGACATTGCCTGAGACTTTCAGAAACTCTTCACTATTTACTAGTCGTTAGTTGCAGCTCTGCTCGTAAGCCATTATCTTTTCTCTTCTAATCTTGAGTTAATGTCTTTTTTTCTGAAGCATTTACTCTGAATTGAATGTGACTATTAGCATAAATGTTTTTAACTATAGTACATCTCAACACAACCTAGGATGTGGTTGAAGGCTAAGTAGGTTGTTTTTGAAAAGTAACACAAATGCATAGTAAATATATAAAGAGTATTTAAAAAAAGATTCTAACAAGAATAAATAAAACATTCAAATGTGCTAATGTACAATCAAGGCCAATCAAATAGTAGAATAAAATTACAGTGTAGCAACAATGCAGTGTCACTTACGAATAAATACAATCGGATAAAGACAAAGCAAATAAAAGTTTAAATGCAGTGGCAAACAAAATAAAGTTTTAAACCCTGATAGAGAGATGTCTTTTTAAGTCATCTGAGGCCTGAGGCAAAGTAAAACTAATCCATGAGAAGTACTAGTGTTTAACTGGAGGATAAAACTGAAGCGAGCGAACAAACGACGATGCTCAGTGAAGTGTTTGAATGAAGAGGATAATCATGTCCAGTCTAGTGCTCTGGGGGAACAACACAACTAAAACATTAGTGGCTGTCTCAAAGTTGGTGCACTTAAAGAGACAGAAAAGTCTAAAACCTGGGGGCACAGTGTACTCAGAGATATGTAACAATCTTACCACTGTGATGTTGAAAGCATAGAGAAGGTCGAAGGGTAACGCCGCGATCAGATCCACAAAGAACCAAGTGGTGCAGTAATGGAGGAAGATGGAGCGGGCGTCGTACACTACCTGACCGGACTGACTCACATAGGTCGTCCGAAAATTTAGGATTATGTCTGAAAAGAAGAGAAGCAAAGGAAATGTATCAAAAAACACACATTTATAGAAAAAATATTTCATGATCAGACGATACATTTAGGTCTAAGAGTTTGGGAGTTTACTTGGCTGTTTAAGCTATTTGATTTAGACTTGTCTTGTCTTGAGTGTTTCTAATCATATTTAAATGTAATTTTATCAGAATCTGAATTCCTTTGTTTGTCCAACAGGGGGGGAAATTACATTGTTACAGCAAAAGTAAAGATAGAGACAACAAATAAAGCACTATTAGATAAAGGGCATGCACAGAATATTTAAAATGAAAGGTTATTACAATTTATAAAGTACACATTTGTAATAAAATAATTTAAGTTTTTTTAACGTTTATTTTGTATTTTCTGTAAAGCACTTTTATTTGTCTTGTGTTGAAATGTGCTATATAAATAAACTAGCCTTGGCCTTTATCTCAGGTAATAATTAGTAAGTCAATTAGTCAATAATAATACTTCCGAATTATAAAATTGGTTATTCCTTTGAAGCTTGCAAGGTGAAAAAGTTAAATATGTGTTTAACTTTTTATACATCTAAGATAATTAAGGTGAGTATCAAATAATAGCTGCAGTAATGTTATAGAGGTAGTCAGAAATATATAACATTAGAGGCCAAAATAGAGTAGCTGAAAGATCATGTTATATTCTCAGTATTTTAAAGTTATGCCGATTGAAATGATAAGAAAGGAATTATTAATTTAAAAAGATTCAGCTCCATGTTGATGATTAGAAAACACATGACATAACCGGTAAAAGAACCTAACAGGATTTTTTAGCAAACTAATGACCTTGTTATTATTGTTATAAATCCCTGGCACTATATTTCACTTTTCCGCTCTTCTTTTGTTTATTGCAGTTAGACTGAACACAGAGTGCATGTGAGTTTAAATTAAGTTCTTTCAGGGACAAGATTTTGTAGTTATACTCCACCCCTAATGCTGAAACTTAAAGTGAGAAAAACCGCAGTGTGAGCTAATTCTGTCCCCAGAAACACCTGTTAAGAGAGATGTGCTATAACACTTCGTTTTGAGGAAAAGTGGGACGAAGTGAGATAAATCTAATTATGATTTCGTAACCTGGGGCAACAGACACACCCTGAGTGGGCGAGAAAAGGTAGGAGGTGTAGCCGTGTCAACTATCGCCAGGGAAATCAGTGTGACTGGGAAATACAGCTGTTCTTTAAACTGAACATAGTTGTCTCTTTATAACTCTGCACAAGACGCTTCGACACTAAGGTCAGCTGGTGTGCAGCATGAAATCAGTGTCCAAGATGTTACTTTAAGATTATCAAACTGCCAAGTATGTGACAGAAAGAAGTTAGAATACAAAAGGCTACTATGTGGAGGAAGACTTGGTTGACTGCAAACTTAGCAAACAGAAATTGTTGAATGAAATATGAACATACCAAGGATGAAGAGCATCTCCACTGCGATGTCACTGCCCATAGTGCTGCGGCTGACCAGGGAGTGGTAGCTGCTGCCCTCATCGTGGCTAACAAAGCAGATGTCATACGGCACGGCCACGGCCACGTAGAAGGTGGCCAGCAGGATGAGCCAGTCCCACAAGGCCTTGGACACGCTGTAGTGCAGCAGGATCAAACGGGACTTCTTCACAGCCGCCACCTTGTACTCGGGCAGGGACGGTTTCTGAAACACACTCTGAAAAAAAGGACACAGATACATCGAAAAACAAAATCCTGGGAGCTTTTTAAAGAAATTGAACTCCAACCCGGTGCTGTGGTGCTGAGTCAACACAGTTGGACAGAAACCTATTTAAAATACAAATCTGAAGGGCTTGGATTATATTTACGGTCACCTTAAACCCAGATGTATGGTGAGTTCTTTGGACAAATGCAACCAGATTTAGAGATGAAAAAGGACAAATAATGTGAAGTTTTTATACTTCACAATAACTTTCATTGATAAATAGTAGGACTACATTCAAATGTAATTAACATTGAGTTATTAGTACATTTAACAAACAATGAAATGACAATTATTAATGTCATACATTTTTCATATGTTACAATAACTTTCATTGATAAATATTACATTCAAATGTAATTAACATTTAGCAAATAGTACATTTAACAAACAACAAAATTACAATTATTAATTTCATGCATTATAAGTAATGCATTAATCCCATTTTATCATAAATGTGTTTTTCTCACATTGGTCAGCTTCCTCTGGCCCCTCTTAGAGAACAGGTTGCTAAGGTGCTGCAGAATATTCCTCCCCCTCTCGTGAGCTTGAGAAAAGTGCGATCGATTGCTTTTCCTGCTCTGCTGAGCGTCCTCTGACATACCTGTGGAGAAACCAGTGGATTATTGTAAGTGGTGCCTCCCATAAATTCAATATGTGACAGAAGGACATTTTGAAAATATAATTAAAATGTCTTGTAGCAAGGCCTCACCGTCTCCTTGGTTGTAGTGATGTCTCTTCCCGTATGATTCACTGACATCTTTGAAGGACAAGAGGAACAGCACCATCTCACCTTTCTCATTTTTAATCGGCACAATATCCAGGAGGCACCAAAATGGAATTCCTGAGGATATCAAACAGAGCATTAAACTGAGGTACCCAGCAGTGTTGCCTGACAGTTCTTCCCCCTAAAATTATGAATGGATTTCTATTAATGCTGGAATAACAATATATAACACCAACATAATGATAATTATTATGTGAACACACAGCTATACCTACTGAATAAACCAAAGACTTGATTTACAATATTGATTTAAAATAATTGTGTTGATGACGACAGCCACTTAACTTAAAATGACGGCAGCACTGATCAAGGTTTTTTCTGTAACTGTCAAAGTCTGTTCACATCTTCTTTTTTATCTGTCTTTAAACAATGCCAGAGCCCATATGGTGTGCTCGTTAGTGCTTCCTGTCTTCTGTTGATTTCTCACATCCAATGCTCGGTTTTTTTAACCTCTTGCGCTCTGTTGCATTTCTTTACTGGGGACAGTTTAGCGATCAAGTGTCATGCTCTCCACAAATATAAAAAGGAACATTCACAAAGTATTCCATGTTTTTTTTTTATGGAAAAAACTAATATTTGTTGTCCAGCCAATGTTAAATTTAACGGACTATTTCAGTGGATTGATATGACTGCAGATCCCTTGAGCCTCCTGAGCAACGGTCTGTTCACCTTAGCAACGGTCTAGTAGCAAGAATTAACAACCTCTGAAATGTCCAAATTGACCAATCAGAATCGAGTATTCAACTAGGCCTTGTAATAACTCTAGTTATTAGGCAAGGCAAGGCAAGGCAAGGCAAGGCAAGAGTAAGAGTAAGAGTAAGAGTAAGAGTAAGAGTAAGAGTAAGAGTAAGAGTAAGAGTAAGAGTTGCAGCGGACCTGCAGGTTTCTGGTAGTTTGTTCCAGATATTTGGTGCATAATAACTGAACGCTGCTTCACCATGTTTAGTTCTGACTCTGGGGACAGAAAGCTGACCAGTCCCAGAGGACCTGAGAGATCTGGATGGTTCATAATTTAGCAGTAGGTCATAAATGTATTTTGGGCCAAAACCATTCAATGCTTTATAAACCAGCAGCAATATTTTGAAATCAATTATTTGACACACAGGAAGCCAGTGTAAAGACTTCAGAACAGGAGTGATGTGATCCACTTTCTTAGTGTTAGTGAGGACTCGAGCAGCGGCGTGCTGAATTAGCTGAAGCTTTCTAATAGATTTTTTAGTGAGACCTGTGAAGACACCATTTCAGTAGTCGAGTCTACTGAAGATAAAAGCATGGACAAGTTTTTCCAAATCCTACTGTGACATTAGTCTTTTAATCCTTGATATGTTCTTTAGGTGATAGTAGGCTGATTTAGTAATTGTTTTAATGTGACTGTTGAAACTCAGGTCAGAGTCCATGACTACACCTAGATTTCTGGCTTTATCTGTTGTTTTGAACATTGCAGACTGAAGCTCAGCGCTAACTTTTATACGCTCTGCCTTGGCTCCAAAAACCATTACCTCAGTTTTATCTTTGTTTAATTGGAGAAAGTTCTGACACATCCAGTCATTGATTTGTTCAATGCACTTACTCAGTGTTTTAATTGGAGAATAGTCTCCTGGTGAAATGGCTATGTAAATATGTGTGTCATCCGCATAGCTATGGTAACTTATTTTGTTGTTTTTCATTATCTGAGCCAGTGGTAGCATGTAGATGTTAAAGAGAAGAGGCCCCAAGATGGAGCCTCGAGGTACCCCACATGTCATATTTGTCAACTCAGATGTGTATTTACCTATAGAAACAAAGTTTTTTCTGTCCTTTAAGTAGGATTCAAACCAATTTAGAACTGTTGCCAAAAGTCCCACCCAGTTTTCTAGTCGGTCTAGTAATATGTTGTGGTCAACAGTGTCAAACGCAGCACCGAGATCTAATAATACTAACACTGAAGTTCTTTCACTGTCTGTGTTTAAGTGGATGTCATTGAAGACCTTTACAAGAGCAGTCTCAGTGCTGTGGTTTGGACGAAATCCTGACTGGAACACATCGAAACAGTTATTTAAATGCAAGAAATTACTCAACTGTTGGCCTCATCTCCCTCCCTTCTATGTGTTTTCTTTGAAAGGAAGAACTGTAGTTAAAATTCAAGACATTGGTACCTATTCTAACATTTTCAACATCTGGGTGATCATGTCATCCTTACCGTTTTTCCTATAGAAGCAGACCTCTCCCTGGTACTCCTGCTGGCCCTCCAGAGCTTTGTCTACCTGCTGGATCACGCTCTCAATGGTCTCTGCTCCATGGAGGAAGCGGCAGGTGCAAGTTTTCTGCATCACCTCGGTCCGAACAAATCCGGTCAGCTCACAAAACCCGTCAGAGCAGTACACGATGGGGTGACCATGGCGACCCTGAGCATTCCCCAGTAAAAAGTTACTGTCTGCAAGGGAAACAAAAGGTTAGAGGTGAATCTACTGAGTGACCCTGAGAAAACACTGATTGAAAAATAGGTGACATTTTATGATTTTTTTTTTTAATTGGTCAGATAGCTGCATCACTGAAAGAAAAAAAATGTTCAGTAACATTGAAGCATAGCAACAAGGTTCTCTTTTTGTTCTCCACTCTCTCTTGTGACATTGATTCAGATTAGATTAGTTTGTTGATGCACCAACAGAAAAATACTTTTTCTCTGAGTCATTCTGTCTGCTTTCAGCTCGGAGCCCTAAAATAGTCGAGTGTACATCAGAGAGAGCTTTGAAGTAAGCCGGTGATGTGCATGAAGTCTGAGGATATGCAGGGCTCCAGCTGGCTCCATGGGGGACAGGGGCCTCAGTGGGGCTTTTTGCCCTTAATTAGCATGGCTGGTGCGTTTTCATCCGGCCACCGGGTGCACAATGCATTTTTGTATTCAACAACTACCTATACAAACATATACACACACCCCCGCTAGAACCCAGTATCTTTAAAAACATCTATTTTTGGCTCTGTGGTGATTGCATGATAAACACTGTATCAAACGACTTAAACCTTTTCCATCTCTTCCTTGGAGATCCTGATACCCTCCCAGCCAGATGAAATAAAGCATTTAACTCCCAAATTGTTTTAGAGTTCATGATTACTTTGGAGGGTTTGCAGATTTTAGTGCAAGTTATGTAGTCCATTTAGGCCCTGATATAACCCTCTGCATAATGCAATAGTCGAACCGCACATCCTCAAGAATGGCCGTAATGTTGAAGCAGCCTTGTTGCAGTCGTTTTAGTGTACCTATTAAACTTGCAGTTGCCAGGCAACCAGCAGAGACTCCAGGAAGTTACTGGTCCTGTGTGGCACATCAGTCTCTTTAAAACACCAGTCCGTTTGTTTTTAAATATCATATTTTATACAGATGAAGCAAATAATACATAAGTAAATAAGTATATATTTGCTTATATAGGCAGATTGGATGCTGTAGCGACAAAAATCTTGTAAAAATAAAACAAAAAAATTTACTTAAAGATAAAACTGCCGCTGAGGCATCAGATAGCGAATCTTGAGCATTGGAATGATCCAAGTCCAGACAAGAATATCCTTTCATGCTCCATGATCCAATATCATCAAACAAAGTCAATTTAACAATTTTCCTGTAGCTTGCCCTTTGCATCTCCTCAGGCCTCCTCGTGCTTTTCCCAGTGGGACATCTCATTTAAAGGTGGGGTAGGTAAGTTTGAGAAACTGGCTCGAGATACACTTTTTGTTATATTCCATGGAATGCTCTTAACATCCTGATAGCAATGAATATCTTAAGTGCTTTGACAAAAAATCCCTAAAAAAATGTCATCTGTGGAAGCCGTAGTACTGTAAAAAGCACGACCAATCATTTTAGCCGGCCCGGCTAAAATAACTGGATGGCCTACCTGCCTGTCAGCCTTCCATCTGTGCACAAACTTATCTCGTGCCCTCATTGGTCATGTGCGCGTTTGTGTGTGTTGGAGGAGGGGCTCTGTAAGGAAGTGGCAGATTTTTTCCGGCTGTGTATTTTCAAATTCTAGCGCACTCGAGCTGGTTTCTCCAAAATTACCTACCCCACCTTTAAGTAATAATAATAATAATAATAATAATAATAATGCATTACATTTTTTATTAGAGCGCTTTTACAATTACACATTACACATATTAGACATGTAAGAGTCATTACTGTGGACATTACCCACAGGAGCAAATGCGGGTAAAGTGTCTTGCCCAAGGACACAACGGCCTGACGCAGTGGCGGCCGAGGCGGGTTTCGAACTGGAGTTCACCAAGTAAACATAATAAGCTCTTAGCATTAACATATTCTTAAAGTATTAAATGTTGAAGCACTCATTCTGGTCTGTAACTTTAAAGTATATATTGTCACGATCTTAGTTTTGTCTGTCTAGTCATGGTTTTATTTTGAAATTCTGTTCTCCCTGAGTCTGGTCTTCCTTCCTGTGTTTGCCCTCCAGTGTCTGATTGCCTCATTGTGTTCACCTGTTGCCCTTGTGTTTCTGCCTCCCCTGCCCAGCTATGTCTTGTCCTGTGATTACCCTTCTGTGTAGTCTTGTCTTCCCCATGTGCACCATGTCGGATCGTTGTCTTTCCTGTCACCCTCCATGTTTGTCACTGTCGGTTTTTGTCTGGATGCTACCTCGTGGCTCGTGCTACCTGTTTATGGATTCATGGTTGTGTTTATTTTTTATCATTGTCAACAGCTTTTTGTAATTAAAGCTCGCCTTTTGTTACACTTTGAAACTCGCTTCTCCTCAATCTGCATTTGGGTCCTGCCTTACCTCAAACCCTGACATATATATTATTTGATTTCATTATGAATATAAATAAATAAATATGTGAATGTTGCTGCTGGTGCTTTTTTTGTTTCTTCTTCTTTTTTTTAGTTTGTGAATTTTACCGAGGGATCAATCAAGTTCATCATGTATTACATAATCATTTATTTTCTTGATTAAATATATTTATATATATAGATTTATCTGAATCCAAAGCTTAAAAGAAAGTAAAGATATCAAATAAAAGTCTTTGATTAAAAAGTAGGCTACAATGCTAATGCTGGTTGCTGATAAATGGACACTTTTTTGTTTTTTTAAAAGATTCTCCACAGATTAATTCCTTTTTCTGGCAATGCCTGTGATAACAAAACAACACAAAAGCATCACATAGACCCACAAGGTAACAATGTTTCTTTCTTACTCAGCTGAGAAGTACATTTTAAATTGAAAAGGTAACAGTAAACGCTCCCATGAGGCTAGAAAAAACGCTTCTCTCCATGATGCTTTTAACCACTAGAAAAAGTGTATAAATTCAAGACAAAAAAATAAATGTTGGTTCTTACTGCTGGAACATTGAAAAGTCATCTTAGGGCAGTGCGCGTGGGTGGTGAAGCCGAACAAAATGTAAATCAACTGCAACTAAACAAATCACTGAATGTATTCTGCAAGAGGCTGTATGCCTCATTTGTAATAAAAATAAAGAATAGTAAACTACCAAAGAGTTTTTTTCACATGGATATTTTAGGTTAAGCTGTGATAAACAAGATATACTTTAAGCATGATGTCATAGTTAATGTGCTTTATTACCAATAAATGTACACAAACAGCAGATTGATATACATGTTTTCTGCTTGTAGAAAACCACAACAATATAACACTCTGGTGTGTCAGTAATCATCCTCTTCATAGCTGCTAATAAAGAAGTAGACATTTGGAATAAAGTACAGTTTTCATTTGATCTACTTTATAAGCTTCATATTGATTTGTAAGGATATACAAGGTTTTATGCCCTTCAGGATTTTTGTGTAGAGAAACAAAAGCAAAATCTGGTCCACATTCGCTGACTAATACTACTTCAATATTCTAGACCGGGGCTACTGAATGGTGTCGTCTTTTATTCATTTGTTCAGTCCCACTCTGAGTACAAGATGATTCCATTCAAAAAAGGCGTCTTTGTTGCAAAACTCTATATTGTCGATACAGCTGCAAAGACCACACTGTACTTCATCCTGTTTTAATGAGAGTGATGCTTTCTTTTTTCCCTTAAAGCAAGTGAAATAAACACAGGCTGGTAACACCACATGCAGCTGTAGATGACACCTGATCCATTTCATACTATTCCAAATCCAAAAAAATGATAACAGAGCTGGCAACAGGGGGGTGTTAACAAGTGTTTGTTCCAGAGAGAGAGACATGTAATTAGTGATGGATATTCTCTACCTGATAAGTATACAGTGAAACTCCCAAGATTTTTCCATGCTCGTGTTGCCATAGTGATTTGTAACGAGAAAAAAATAAAACATATGCCAATGATGCAATTTATATTAGGGTTTTTAGGACACTGTGCTAATATAAGATATTCAATATCTGCCTTGTTCTGTTTGTCATCATGCATCACAATTAACAATTGCATAACTCAAATGGCTGAGGTGTGTGCAGCATACATGAGTAAGGATCTACTGTTATTTTAAGCAAAGCAAAGGTAAATATTGGCTGGATCCTATACCGCCAGATGACTAAACTCAAACTCTTTCACTTTCCTCTGTCTGTCTTCCTTCAGCTTGTTTCTATGGTTTCATGTTTTTCAATCTTACAACAGTATGGCTCACACTGACTGGCCAAACCATTGTTGATCTGGGATTCTTACTCACAGTGATCTGATACTGTGGAAACTGCCGTCCATAAAGTAAAAAATAGATTCAAATGTATATATTTTGAGCCATCAAATTATGTTATAAGCTGACATCAATTTGGAGGTGGCAATTGATTAAATGAATAGTATAAGTATTTTATTCTGCTCTCAAAGAGAATGACCAAGCAAGACCTTTCATGATATTTGAATTGCCTCTGCATAATTGATTTCAATTAATTTCCTGGTAGTGCCCGTGCCACCTTCATTCCCCTGAGCCCAACATCAATTCACACTCTGTGGAAATGTGCTTCTCCTTCATCGAGATATAATTTGAAGTTTCCCCCTTGTATTCAAGGATACGTCCTCAGGCAGAAAGGCTTTCAATTGAAACCGAGACACGTTCAATGTGTGTCTTCAGATTGAAAAGTGCTCGGCTCTGAAGAAATCTCTTGTCAGTTGGCCCCTTCACCTCCCACTCAGATACTTGGTCAATCCGCCCACATGCACATCTGATACAGAGGTATTATGGCAGCGAAGACTGAGAAAATGTCTGCGGTGTTGATATGTGTGTACTGTGTAAGTGTATGTTTATGTGTCATACAGAAAGCAAGGGCGAGACAACATGAAGAAGGCATGGAGGATTAGTGTGTGTGTGTGTGTGTGTGTGTGTGTGTGTGTGTGTGTGTGTGTGTGTGTGTGTGTGTGTGTGTGTGTGTGTGTGTGTGTGTGTGTGTGTGTGTGTGTGTGTGTGTGTGTGTGTGTGTGTGTGTGTGTGTGTGTGTGTGTGTGTGTGTGTGTGATAGGGCGACACTGACAGAGATCGTGTCCTACAGTAGCACTGAATTTGTGAAATTGTGAATATGTAAAGGACACAGACCGTCTGACCCCTACACACTCACACCTTTCATCGTGTTCTATAAGAGCTGACGAGTGCCTCCTTATGACTTTCTACTCAACTGAGGCATGGTTTACACTCACAAAGATAAAATAACCAGGGTCAGAAATAATGAACAGTGGGTGAACATCAATACTGTCCAAGCGTGGAAATGAACAACCTCTGTCTGATCGTTAGTCTCTTTTTAAATAATGCAAAAGCACAGTCCGGTATAGTTGATACTGAGTCTGTAAGGTTGTATTGACGTGCATCTGCTATTTTATATATATTGATGAGCAACAAGGCTTTGTTGAGTGAAATACTGTTTAAAACAAACAGCCAATCTTTAATATAAGCAATATTACTGCCTGGGTTCAGAGTGGCAAGACAAGAACAGAACCCATTCGCAGATATGTTTTGATAAAAGCTTAATTTACATTTGATAAAATATTCAAAGTCCCGTCATGTACAGTTTTTTAAGCTCAACCTTGCAATAATGGAGGAATTAAAATTAGAAAAGCAGAAAAAAAACTCAAATGTGAAATATTTTGAAAGTAAAGCTTTTCTTATGAAGGTTTACCATTTCTTGTTGTAAATTTCCATTTTGGTATGGGCTTGCTGTCACAATCACATAATTAATGCACTGTTTGAGACATCTTTTTTCAGCAAATAAAAAAATACAATTTTCACCAAATATCAACCTCAGTGTTGCTTCATTTACACAGCCTCTCCTGCTAACCTCACACCACTACGCAGGGTACAAAAACACCAAGAGGGAGTGCAAAGCAAATATAAAGATCAAGGAAATGCCCCAATAAAGAGTCTTAAATATTTTTAAAATAAGGGTTGAAGAAGAACATCAGCTGAAATGTGTAGGAAAGTGTGTGGATATACTGTAGGGTTATTTGTGGGAAAGATGGCAAACACAAGCTGTACAGCCGTAATATGTTTTGGTTTAAAGGAAGACCTTGACTGAGAAAAGTACAAATCTCAACAGTGAGACATCCTTAGGAGCCGCTCTGTGGCTCAACAAGTGGCTCATCAGTTCCGATATATATCATCATAGCCGGGCACCGCTCGTTTCAATTTGTATTTATGGTTTACTGTCACAACTCGCAGTGTAATAATTGGACTTCACTTCCGTTGGACACATTTGTCATCAGCAGTGTTTTTCGGTGCCCGTCACAATCCTAAAGTAGGTTACAGAAATGCCAAAGGCACATCTCCTAAAAGCTCAACTGGTACCGTTGAAGCTTCAAAACTGAGAGGGATCTATATTCAGACGTCATAATTCAGATGTAATGATGTGTGGGGCAAAACGTTTGAAACACATTGACTGCAGTATTGTAACAAATAAATTGAAACAAAGAACGAGCACAACTAGCCTTAAGATGTACACAATAAAATATGTACGGAATGTCTCGTTTGTCCCACAAATGACATTTTAACTTCAAGCTTTGAATATTTTAAATTAAAGACAATTGCAGAGAATTATAGATTATACTTACGAGTGCCATCAAAGTGGTTTGCGATGGTTTCCAAGAAGGTGTTTTGTGGAGCAAGGAGGCCCTTCATCACAGGCATCTTGTACTAGAGGAGGGGACGGCGGCAGACTCTCTGACAGAAGTTTCCAGCAGTTTTTCAGCCTTCCCCAAAGACAACCTGAAAGAATAGCAGGGTGCCTCTCCTTGGGCTTGCTTCAAACTCTTAAAAAATGTTCTGATGGAGTGAAGGTTCGTTTTATTCTATGTTGTTGCGAGGAAAGCACTGACTTGCATCATTTCTTCTTCTTTTTCTTCAAGGTTTTCAGATGTGCATCCCCCTGCTCTCAGCGCTGTTTCACAGTATCACAGCGCAGCCTCAGCTTCTCCTCTTCATTCTGGCTCCACTAACCATAGTTCCTGCCATCTCCGAGTCCCCTGCCTCCCTCCCTCCCTCCCTCCCTCTGTCTCTCACACAGAATCCTGAACCATCCCTCTTTCCAACACACAGAGAACGTACCAGTTATGTCTCTCATCTTCTCTCTTCCTTTCTCACACTATACTACATGCAATCCCCAGAGAAGTTATTTGAAATCACTTAATCCGTTTCCATTTTTGTGTTTTTTTCTGAAACTAAAAGACTGTTGCTCAGGCAGCTCATTTTTTGAATCCATGATCATCGGGATATATAAGAGAGCCTCGGCAAGTGTTGGTTGCTATGGATATTCCTAACTCAGAGAAAAAGACAAAGGTTTGACTTATTTTGTGTTTGTAGGGTCAGACCTTTCTTCTGCTTTTCTATGGACACATGATGGCCAGGATTCAGGTTAAATAAAGAGCTGCTCAATGACACCACCTTAAATCTGCTGCCAAGCGTGATGCCGGTGAGCAGCTTGAAGGATCAATCAGCTCACTGTCTGTTTCACTATATCACATTTATTTTGCTACCCATACTGTACATCAACAAACACCCACACACATAATTGCTGTATAAGCCTTCACACACACCCACCCACACCCATACACACACACACACACACACACACACACACACACACACACACACACACACACACACACACACACACACACACACACACACACACACACACACACACACACACACACACACACACACACACACACCACACACACACAACACACACACACACACACACACACACACACACACACACAGGTGGCATTTCTAAACTACTGCACACACTGGTTCTTTGTACAGCATCCCTACCAATTGTCCCTTTCTTCTAGGTCTCATGCAGAGTGTGAGGCTGCTGTGAACACACACTCCGCACACACCACACTGAGACATCATTAAAGCACGGGTTATTGAAATCAACACTTGTGCATGAAAAGGTCAAAACCACAGCCATCATGTTTTCTAATCAAAGGTATTTGAGTTTGCAAATAGCGTTTGTTTTTTATATCTTCTCATACAGAAGAGTTGTTTTGTCAGATTTGAGAAACTTTTGATCCAGCAGTAATGGCTATGGTAGGATGAACCAGCTTTAGATGAGGTGTAACACGTTGCTAAGCAGGAGGCCTTCTTAAATAGGTCCGTCTAAAAGTTAGCATGGGTTATTATTAGCCAAAGAGTAACTATTGAGTGCAAGCTATGACATCATCTCTGTCTGCACATTGAGCTGAGTTCAAGAATCCTATTCTTAATCCTACATTTCTCATTCTTCTTCTATGATGCTCCTATACATCAATGTATATGCCTTGTTGAGTAAAATGATCAGAAAATAATTGACCTTGCAGTATACTGTGAATATAAAACCCATGTAACATTCTGCATCGTAACTATTTTTGAGCAAAAACACACTGAAGCACGGGCAGTCAGAAGGAGCGTGAGGGGCGGGACTTTGACTCTCAGTAAACATGCAAACAGAGAAAGAAAGTGCCACACCCTCCCCAATAAGAAACAAGAGAGTTATCGTCTGCATGTGTTAAAAAGCACCATTATGGTCTATGATGGACATAAACAATATCACTTTTTGGACATCTTCTTTTCAGTACGTTTTGCATTTTGCAATTTAAAGACTCTCCCTTGATCTACAAAATATATCCTTTTCTTTCCAAGACACTTTTCATACACTCCCTAATGTTGTTACGAATAAGGAAGATAACATGTAGGTAATACAAACTGTGTTTGTTGTTCTACAAGATTTGTGTAGTTTTGATTCGATTTTGCATTAAGTTTTGTATGACCAAAAGATTGCATACTGTATAGGGAATAATTTGTATATAATGCATGTTTCTGCATTATAATTGAATATATTTCTGTCTTTTAATAATATTAGGTAATCGGCATGATTTTGAGCACTTTCTTAATGGAAATGTACGAAATATTTAATTATTAGCCCAGAAAACCCACCCAAGAATAATTAAAGACGTGTTGCCACCTTTATATATATATTTTTTTAATTGCACCCATCACAAGTCCATATATGTACAATATTACACAACCCCCTAATAGTTTTAATATGAGCAGAAAAATACACATTCTGTGTAATATCACTCACCATATAGGTGTGTTCAGATTTTTAACAGTCTTTTATAGATTCCATTATAAGTATTTATGTGAGTATTTAGCTTAGGACAGGCAGGGGCGTTGTGATAGTTCCTGACTGAGCCATCCAGTCCATGAACTGCCTCTCCTCCGTCCTCTTGCCCATCGTCAGGATCCCTGCGGCCTGGCTTCTGGAGTCCTGGAGGAGCTGGTGGAGGCGGCTCTGGAGGCGATGCTCGTCCTCCCTCCGTTTGCCCAGAGTGAGGATACCAGCAGAAGCGTCCCCTGTGAGGGGTCTCCCAAGGTTATTGGTGCCGGGGCGACACAGAAACATGTAGAGGCGACAGGATTGGGCCGGCTGTCTGCAGCACTCAGACATGCTGTGAGCCTCACAGGCCAGCTGAGACAGCAGCAGCATCACCACCAGCACCAGGACTTTCTGCAGGGAAAACCAGATCAGTTAACACCCAATACACCAATACAAGAATATAGTATGTTGGCTGGAAAAGCTACAAAATGATTTATTTATCTGCATGTCTTTCAAATGTTAAATATTGTTATGGCTTACATCATGTTAAAAATGTTGCTGGTTAAATCTTAAGCGATGGATACACTCCTGAATCACAGAATTTCAAATGAAAATGTATTCTTAAAATACTAAATTGGTCTAAATTCAAAGATATACTGAGTATCACCATGAGCAACTATGATGAAGTGGTATCGTACCAAACACTGTTTTAATCCCTTCTTAAAGGATATGACGTATGAAAATACACAACCAGAACAAATCTGCCACTTCCTTATAGAGCCCCTCCTCCAACACACACGAACGCGCACATGACCAATGAGGGCACGAGATAAGTTTGTGCACAGATGGAAGGCTGACAGGCAGGTAGGCCATCCAGTTATTTTAGCCGGGCCGGCTAAAATGATTGGTCGTGCTTTTTACAGTATTACGGCTTCCACAGATGACATTTTTTTATGGATTTTTTGTCAAAGCACTTAAGATATTCATTGCTATCGGGATGTTAAGAGCATTCCATGGAATATAACAAAAAGTGTATCTCGAGCCGGTTTCTCAAACTTACCTACCCTACCTTTAATCTCTCATACAACATAAACAAAATCATATCAAGCTGAAATGATGTTAACAGCATTCACATGTGGGCATAGTCATGCCTTTGCCTAAATCCCAAACCTTTGTTTTATACAAATAGAGACATAAGATCACAGAGCCTATAGCCTATACTCATTTGTAACCCTTGTCATTACACATAAAGGACGCTAAAAATAAAGTAATTAAAATGATATTATTAGGGAAATTATAATAAAAAAACATTGCTTCCCTTTGACTGAAAAGCCTGATCAGCTTTGTGGGTTTTAAAATTACCCAGTTATGATCCATTGATTGAATATAGAAAAATATATTGTTATGATACGCGCCCTGCAAAAAAGCCCTGTGGTTTCAAGCATAAAAAAAAAAATTGTAATAAAATGTAAATGTTGTATAATGCATCAAACTTAAGGACACACAACAGATTTGATGAGGATATAAAAGGGATGCATAAGAAAATGAACCGTAAAGACCCCAAACAAACTCATAAATGTAAGCAACCATAGGCTAGTTTAAAGAACAAACACATTTGTGATATCAAACAAATCAACCACTGAGTTTTAAATAAAAAATCTAACTCTTACCCTGTTAGACGTCTGCATCCCAGCAGCGTTCTGCAAGTTGGAGGGGAACCAAGGCATCTTGTGGCTTGTGTGGAGGGTAGTCTTCTACTCTTCTCATGTCCAGGACCTTTTTATGGTTCAGTGGTGTCCGAGCCAAAAGACGTCATCCAGGCCAACAACAACCATGACATCTTATCACCAATTGTGTGCTTTGCTCATTTGAAGGATGGATGTCACGTTTGACGCCATAATTAGTCTTCTGCAGCTGACCGTCTCCAAGGCACTTCTCTGGACCTTTAATGAACTACAGGTATGTCTTTGTGGCCGCATGCCAAAGTTTTACGACGACATACCTTTGTGATGACTGGTGAGAGATGGAAGTCAATTAGCTAATGTGTACTACAAGTTCTAAAAATATAAATATATAACAGCCCAGATGCCCTTTTCAAAATGCTAATGACAAGCTCATTCGGAAGTCATGCTAATGAGGTTCCATTGGCTTTATTCTCACATACAAAAGGTCTCGTACTGACACATCAGGACCTGTTTTTGTGTTGTTCCTTCAGAGCTTTCACCAGTGGTCTGAACGAACACTTGATACATCTAACCAACAAATAAAAAGACCCTAAAACCTTAAGAATTATTTGTTTTTAAAATAGCTTGTAACTCTTACGGCCCGTCCACACAGCAGCGTTAAAAAAATCTTGGAGGTGGGCGTATCTGAAGCTTGGGGATTTTTTGCGAGCAAGGCACCAACAACCAATCACGTGAATCTCCCGCCCCCGACTTACGAAGCAAAAAAGTTTGAAGTAAACTGGATATAAACTCCCCAAACAGGCGAAAACATACCACTGTCTCTGCCACCTCCCTCCATGCCTGGCTCCTCCGGTTTATATCCCGGTAGGTAAATAGGGACTGGTCATAAAGCACCGGGTGATTCCCTACCGCTAATTTCTCCTCCATTTTTTGGAATATGAGGAAATGACCTGCGGTATGTCTCTCCCAGCATACACGCGGTTTGATTGGCTAGCGCTTGAACTGTCAGATTTGCATACACGGGATTTGATTGGCTGACGCTTCCACCTCAGCTTCAAAAGTTGAACATTGCTCAACTTTGAATCCTGAAAATCCTGAAAATCTCCGCTCGCCTGCCCACAATGCAGTTCGGCGAAAAGTGAGGCAAAGTGACGTCACCCCATTCAAAGTGAATGGGCAGAAGCGTTTCAAGATTTTTTAACGCTGCTGTGTGGACGGTCCGTTACCGACTACCAGCACTTTAATAAGTTAACACAACCGGATAACTAAAAGAAAGAAATTATTGACTTGTTTTTCATCTTTTCATCTGCAGATCCTCATTCACTTATTATCTGTTGCCATCTTATGGACAACAGGAAGCATTGCTCGACATAAACACACTCATTCATTCTAAAAGGAGTGGAATCCTTCTGATTTATTGATAGGAAAATCATTTTAGATAAAGAGAATGAACAGTGTATCAATCAATACTAGCTTTTGGAAAGCTTCGTTGATTGCTTTAGATCCGCTGTGAAAGCTGCTTTTAAAATGTTTTCAAGCGCTGCTGACATTTGTTTGAACGCAATTAAAAAGTGACTTACCTCCCAGTCACTGTCTGAGATTATTTTCAGGCAAATATAATTCCAGGTACTGATTCAAATATTGCTGAAATTCAAGTCAAATTACAGAGAATGGGCATTAGCATGAAGGGGAATACATTAGAATTGACAGTATCCTCATTTAAAAGTCATCAAAGACAAATGAACAACAGGAGACAGGATAAACAATGAAGCCAGTTTTAATGGGCCACTTTCAGGAGCTCTCACAGAATCCACACTCACTTCGCAGTGAAACACACATCAGGTTATTGTCTGACCCTGGAGCTGTGGCGCTGACCAGTTATCCCTCGCTCTGCTCCTACATGCACTGGTTGTCCTTATCCGCACCACAGAACAACAGGAATCAAATCACTGTATATGTGGAAGTAATGTTAAAAAAAAGAATATCAATAGAACTAACAACAATTATTATAATATCAATCATTAATGTCTGTCTGCAAGAATTAATATAGCAATATATGTTCCCTTCGTACATTTTACATACATTTTACATCTAGATTCACTTTATTTTGTGTTTTTATTGACAGCAGTACCATATTCTGGTTGACCTCCGACCTCTAACAGGCAGGGGTCAGGTATTCCAGTTGCGATTGGCTGGTGAGCTGTGCCACTTACGGAGGTGGGCTAGCTCCACCCTGGGGACCAAAACACCGACTCACGTAACGTCACACACACAGCCCCTGGGGAGGAGACAAGGAGACCCTGTGGGGAGAGTCCAGGAATGCTGAAGAACTGAAATCCCATGGAATGACACCGGAGATGTGTGGGACTCGATGGAGGTCTACAACAGCATTGGATGCGAGAAGAGCATCGATGTGACTGAACACATCAGCAGCTGCAGATGGTTTCTATGTTGGCTCTACAGCTTCCTGGTTTGTGCTAAAAAGGACATCTGTGACGCCTACAGAGCTTAGCCTACTCAAGCTGCTCTATGTTGTGCACTTAAAATGAACACGGTTTCCTCTTCGTCAAAAAGAGGGTTTGCACTTAGCATGACGTCTACGATTGAAGAGAAGGAGTGTGAGCATTAAAAAAATAAAAGCTCAAAGACATGCCGAGGAGTCTCTGGAAATGAAAAGGCAAATTTATGGCAGAAAGTGCCAATGTGAGGTAAAGCCTGTACCAACAGAGCTAGAGTACATCATGAAGGGGCATGTAACTAGCAGTGCCCAGAGAGAGACAGGGATATCTAACTGATCCAACTTCAAAACATTCCTTTGCAGAAACACACGACAGGTTTGTCACCAGCTGTTACCCTTTTGTATGGAAGCCCTGAGAGGATAGGAACAAATCTGTTAGTGCATTTTCTAATTATGATCTGACAATTTATTCTCCTTTGTTTATGAGTTAAGAACAGGTTATCAAGGATTATTTATTTGTAAGTTCCTTTAAGACTATTTACTTAAAGGTAGGGTAGGTAAATTTGAGAAACCGGCTCGAGATCGCTAGAATTTGAAAATACACAACCGGAGAAAATCTGCCACTTCCTTACAGAGCCCCTCCTCCAACACATACGAACGCGCACATGACCAATGAGGGCACGAGATAAGTTTGTGCCCCGATGGAAGGCTGACAGGCAGGTAGGCCATCCAGTTATTTTAGCCGGGCTGGCTAAAATGATTGGTCGTACTTTTTACAGTACTACGGCTTCCACAGATGACTTTTTTATGGATTTTTTGTCAAAGCACTTAAGATATTCATTGCTATCGGGATGTTAAGAGCATTCCATGGAATATAACAAGTGTATCTCGAGCCGGTTTCTCAAACTTACCTACCCTACCTTTAAATTACATTTCCTTTATATTTGTGAAACAGGTGAGACATTCTTTTTTGGCATGTCAAACTGTTTTTGTTAAGGATAAATTCTGCTGTGTTTTTTGTTGTCATATTCATTTGACTACAACAGTGTACCACTACCACATGTTATAAATAATACTTAAAGCATTCATGTCTTCTCCCAGGTAAGGTTTTGTCTGTCTAATCAAAACAATGTGTCAATAAGATTACATTTAATTTTCAGCCGGAAGAAAGAAATGAGAGTAACGTTACACAACTTGTTACATTTTGTGTTAAAATTGCATAGAGAAAAACATACCTGGTAGAAAACATGAATGCTTTGAGTGCTATTTAAAGCATATAGTAGAGCAGTTCAGCCTCGTGTGGGTTGAATGAGTATTACAAGAGAAAAACATAAGAAATTATCCTGATCAAAATAAAAAGTTGAATGCACTTATTTTAAGTCGCTTTCGATAAAAGCGTCAGCTAAATGAAATACAAAAAAATGTTGCCTAGCGAAACATTTATTGTTACCTATATTTACTACTAAAACCTGGCAACAAAGGAACTTTCAGAACCTATGTAGATTATGCTGACAAAATGTCACCAGATCACTAGAACTGTTTTCTGCCTTTCAGGGCTTCCGTACATTTGGCTTTTCACAAGAGAGAAAACAGAAAAGACCTCAACTTCCTGGCTCAGATAAAATATATTTTCCACATCCATGACAGAGAGAAGTAAAAATGTCTTTCCAGTTTTCACTCTTGTTTTGAGATGTGTGATTGCAGTGTGAGGTCTCTCTTTCTTCTCTCCTCCAGCCCTAACTGAAACCTGTTCAGACCTGCGTCTCGCTTCTAACACGGCGAGTCTTCCCCCCCAGCATCATCTCTTTATTTCTCTCAGCCAATTCCTCCATGTCCTTTTCATTAATGCCCCCCTTCTTTTCCACTACATCCTTCTGCTTCCCCATCTCTGTCTTGCCCTCCCTGTCTCTCTTTGTGTAGGATTCTCTGCTGGCACAGGCTGCGGGTCAGCAGGATCCCACAGGGTCGTCTCTGACCAGCTCTTTGTCAGAGACGCCCTCCGGAGTTCCTGCTGCCCTCTGCTGCTGGCTCTGAAACTGAAACTGGAGCTGGGTTAGGGGCGGAGGTTGGGTGTAGGCCGGTGGTTTTGAAAGAGTTTGAACCAAAGGGAGAGCTGGCAGCTGGGGGTGTTGCTGTGGATGTTCCTGGGGAAGGGGACGGTGATAAGCCTGAGGTGCTGTTGGGGGTGGGGGCTGGGTTTGGGGCGGGTGAGGTTGGGGCGGGTGAGGTGGAGGAGGCTGAGGCTGGGTCTTGGCCTGTGGCTGTGGCTGTGTCTGCTGCTGCGGTGGGCGGAGAGGATGGTGCTGGAGCTGTGGGGAAGCTGCTCCGTTCTTACTGAGGCCACAGGACTGGGCGGCACAGTGGATCTGACGCAGGTTGTCCAGCGCCTCGCTCTTAGCGTGCTTCAGCAGGTCTGCCTGGCCCTGAGATTGAGAGGGAGCGAGAGGGGGGGGGGGAGACACAGAGAGACACTGCTTGGTTATCAACACATCAGGTTATAGGGTGACAAAAAAAGGAGGAAACATCTTTGATATACATTACCTCTTACAGTGTGCGAGTTAGATAGCTAGAGCGAGTTCTGTGTTACCATATTGGCCTGGTCTGTTTAAAAAATATATAATTTAATCCCTTAAGGACTTTTACCCTGTTGATTAAAATGAAAATAAAGGCAAATATCAGTTAAAAGTATTATAGGTCCTATCTACAAGATATATACAGAATAAGTAACACAATTTTTTTATTGGGACAAACACATTTTTGTGTTTCAACATTCAATATCCACAAATATTAAAACAAAAAACCCTTGTTTCTAATACTGTCTGTAGCTGCTGGATAAAAAAGAAGAAGAAGGAATGCCTTTCATGTGGCGGTAGTAGCTCAGTCTGTAGGGACATGGCTTGGGAACCGGAGTTTCGCCGGTTCAAGTCCCGATAAGATCAAAAAATACGGTGTGTGGACTGGCACTGGTATGATATAAATTATGAAATCTTTATAAAAAAATAACCAGCTTCTCCATAAAGCTTCAGGAATGAACATTGCAGCGAACTTGGCAGAACATTCATATTTTGCCCAAATCAACCTCCTTTTGCTATTTTTCATTGATTTTATTTTTATTTATTTATTTATTTTGATCTCAAATGAAAAACACTTGATATTCTATAATGTAATTGTTCAAATCTAAAAAATTATATATTATTCTTTAAAGTTTGTATGTTTATTGTACTGCTGATGTAAAGGGAAACATGGCATAAGAACATTTATTCCATGGTGCATTAACTCATAAGATGCAGTAGGGGGCAGTATCAAGCCACAGAAGGAAGGCCTTTGGTTGTCTGCCAGCCCTTCATACTTCTTCTCAGCTGGTGGATAGTGCTGTCATATGGTGATAATGTTATACTACAGTTCTAGTCTTTATTTGGGAGCACCCTAGAGACAAATTCCTGCCATATGTGGAGGAAGTGGTCAGGGCAGGCATCCTGCTTTACAGCACTGTCAAGTCAATGTGGGCCGCTGCCATGGCTGCCTGCCACCTTAAGCTAGCCGTCTCTGCCATGTGGAAATGTGGTCGACTTCTCCACAGGCAGGACATTTATGTGTGTGAGATGTACTTATATTATTAGAACTGGCCAAAACAAAAAAAGTAATCTGACCACATGCTTGCCACACCCCCCTCTCTTTCCGCCCGTCTGGTCCGACACTGTCTTTACTCCGACATCCCTTTAACATCTGTTCACAGGCACGTTCTGATCTGTGAACCTGAATACTTTCCCTCCCTCCCACTGAACTTTACTCTGGACTCTCTGGACTGGTTTGACCCGCTGTGACATCCACATGAAGAGGCAGAAGTTGACCGCTCTGCACCAGACTGTACTGAAAATGGTAATATCCTCTCATTGAGGCACAACAGTCTGACATATTGTAGAAAGAGTAAAGGTGCTGCCCTGCACTCAGCGCTTTATTCCCAGGTGATGTTAATACGCTGCAAGTGGCCTTTTACCTGAGCCACTCCGGCACGCAACACACGAGCAAGAATAAGTCAAACGCTTGAAAAAAATAAAAAACTTGAATTATGTAAGTCATGACTCACCAGGCATAAAATAAGACAGCGAAAAGCTGGTTCTGTGCTGCCAGAGCCAAATCACGATGGCACTCGTATTTGAGTACATTCACCCTTACAGCTGGCCTCAAGCTCACCACAGGGGGCTAAGCATGAGCAAGAGCAAATCCCCTTGCTATATCCTCATTAAAATCTCTCCTTATCGCCTACTTGTTTATCAAAATCAGTCCATCCCCTTGATAGAAGCCTTTATTGTAGATTATTTTAAGGTTTTCTATCTAGATAAAGTGGTACGGTAGCGAACATGAGCGAGAGTGACAGCTATGGTTCACAATTGATGGCCTCTATAAGTTCCTCTTGAACAGATAACTAAACTCAAGAGTGAAACAGAATAAATGGTTTCTTGTCAGAATAAATGGGGCCTTAGTCATGGTGAAAAATCGCAGCTACTTTAGCAGATTAGTTATATAACAAACTGCCTCAAACAATAGTTAATTACAGTAAAAACTGACAATAGGGAGTGATGTGGGAGACGACTGGAGTCCATGTTTTTGGAGCCTGTTTTTCTTCTCAAAATGTAACTCGGTATGCTTCACAGCCTCTCTTCCTGTCGCTCTGTTGTTGCTTTTCTCTTGACAGCAGGTACGATGAGTGACAGGTATGACTAGTAGAAATGGGCAAATACCCTTATTCACCATGACAGCTTTGATCTGACTGTAACTGTCAAATTAATGTTGTGAAGGTGGTTTGGGAAACAGGGATAATACACATTCTCTCGCTCTATCTTCCTCACAGCTTCCCCGCCATCTACCGGCGAGTGTTTCCAGGATCTGGAGAGGATGACAAGTGAAATCATTCTGCATGGCTGCCAGCCTTGGCATAACACGCACCAGGCTCTCACCAAATGTTTAGTATGAGACACGGCTTACAACTGAAGAATGGGAGGAGGAGGAAGAGGAGGAGAAGGAGGGGTAATGTGCTCGCCAAGATGCCTTCATGTTGAGAATGTGGATATTAAAAAAAGATGGACGAATGAGGGTAGTGTGTGTTTGGAGTGACAGTGCAGGGATGAGAGGAGATCTGAGCTTAGGGGTGATGGGTATAAATGGGGGTGGGGGTAGCAAAGGGGATTATGTTCACGGGTCCACCTGTTGCTCTACTTAAGCACATGGTTACCCAATTCTAGAGGGTGCAATGAAGCTTAATTAAGATAAACCGTGGTGCAGCACAATGTTATTTGCTGTATGCGTGAAGAGCTACAAAAGTTAGCACTGATTTATTAGAGCTATATCCATTACCTTGACTACTTTTAAATACTTTTAAGGTTTTAATAATACAACAATTATTCATTTATCAACCTTCTGTTTCCTGCGCCCTAAAATCAGGATTTGCAGCTTTTAATAATTCACTGTTTTATATCATTTTAATTAAATGTATTCAGATATGGAGACTGTTGGAATAAAATTAAAAATGTCGCACTGATTTCTGGGAATTTTTAAAACAAATGTCTTACATTGTATATAAATCAGTAGAGCAGCAACAATTGGTTGACTTCGTTAATTGAAAGAAAAACTATTTTGATAAGCAATAGCGTATTTTTCCATGTAAAACGTCATAAAACCCTGTTTCCAGCTAACAAGACATTCAAAGACAATCACCTTGTATTTTATATATTGGGATGGACATTTTTTATATCTTTTTACATTTTTAAGACAAAACAATGAATCTGCAGAGTATTACATAATGGAATCAATCATTAAATGGAGCCCTATTAATCAGGTCATCGATCAATTACTGATGGATTAATTCTCACTTAAACGTATTACTTTCAGCCCTAATTTATTTTCACTGTCTGAAAAAGCAGGCATGAAAAGGCAAAGAAGAATCAAGCAATCAAACATCTAACCAACCTGACACCGTTCAGAAAGCTCAGCCAAGGGAGCTTCTTCACTCAATACTAAATGATTTCATGGTGATGAGATGAGATAAAAATATCCTGGCTGATTTGTCCTTACTCAGAAAAACAGGCGTACTGTGCAGAGGGCAGTCTGAGCAGCATGTGCTGTTTTTATCAGTGCTGCCATCACCACTAGTGTTCATCGGGGCGGTGAAATGAAGGCATGGGCAACTTTATCTCACCAGGGCCGGTGCTGAGCAACATCTTCAGGGCATGTCCAATGTACCCTCATGAGGAGTAAGTGTATGTCTACAAACAAGTGTGAACAATCCTATCGTGTGCTGTCAAGATGGTGAGATGAGCAAATAAATAAACCACTGTCAGAAATCAACATCATTTAATTAAGAGATAAAGGGATTAGAGTAGAGGCCCATACAATTAGCCCAGAGAGCGTTCTTAAAACAACATGTCGTTTAATCTCAGCGACAGGATCTGGGATTTCTTATCCCTCTGGAAAATAATCTCACATGTTGACATCAATCAAACGTATGAGCCAGCACTAGAGGTGTATATAGTACAGTAAAGGGCCTTTGTTGCTGAAGGTCACACTGTGGTTTTCTCAGTGTTTCTCACCTTGAGCACGGTGATGTTCCAGGCGTAGCTCTCCATCGCCTTCTGCAGTTTGCGGCCCTTCAGACCCTCCTTCGCTCCGATGCGATGCAGATCCTCATGGAAGTCCAGACCTGGGTACAGACACACCATATCATCCTATCAGACATATGTGTGAAATTGTCATTATCAGCATATGAATTCTTGAGTTACAGCCAAAACACATGTTCTGAGAGGTCACAGCGACATTAGCCTTCTACTGACAAATCTAATCAGTTCATTTTTGTGACTTATGTGTAAAATTGGAAGAAAGTCTCCCAGGGCGCCTTTATTTGATAGAAAACAGTGCAGAAATGTATGTGTGTGTGTGTGTGTGTGTGTGTGTGTGTGTGTGTGTGTGTGTGTGTGTGTGTGTGTGTGTGTGTGTGTGTGTGTGTTTGGGGGGGTTTCCATGCCTTGAAGGTGGGATTTGGACTGGAAGTTGTGCTATGGCATGTGCTGTAACGATTTGGATACCATAAGAGGCGCTTTCACACCGCAGTACTTTTCCCACAAAGGTTCATCTGTACTTAGTTCATGAGAACTCTTTAGTTCTCATGAACTAAGTACAGATCGCATTCACACCGGAATAAGTCCCTGAGGGAAGATTACACAAATGAAGCCGCTGACGTCACTTCTTCTGCTTTGGGTTTACTGGCAGGCCGCAAACAACTTCACGGCGTATACTGTCACCCGAAGTCCCCGGCCGGAAGTCCCCGGAGTTGGGAACTGGCTTCAGTAGAAGCTGCTGGGACTCCCAGCTGCTTCAACTGAAGCCTTCCGAGTAAATCGCCAGAACGCCGACACCTCCTCATCTCCACCGCTCCCATGTTTTCTTTTGTGTTGCCATAAGTTAGTCTCTCTGCGTTGGTGCGCTGGGCTAATGCTAATGCTAATAATGCTAATGCGAGGATAATAAAATGGCGGCTTCACAAAACATTTTTGGAGTTTTACGGAGCGTGGTTTGCAATCCGCCCAGCCAATCAGAAATAGGAACCTTTTTCTCCCACGAAAGTCCCTGCTCTCTAGCAGGGACGGAAAAGGGGGTAAACATGAACTAATTTTAGTTCCGGATTTATTTGGTGTGAACGTGACATTTCGGAACTATATCGGAACTAAAGTGGGAAAAGTACTGCGGTGTGAACGCGCCTAATGCTTCTAGATTTGTTCTTTTATGAGATGTGATCAAAATACCTGTTTAACTTAACTTTCCTTGAAATCTGTTAACACATATCCAACTTATCCCACTAACTAATAATACAAAAAACAGAAGTGAAAACATGAAATCCTTAATGAAGGTACTAATAGGAAATGATTATGCTCTTTAAGTCACCTTTTAATTTTGCAGTGTGCAAAGTATGCAGAATAAATGACTGCTAGCCAGCTCCTCATGGGCCCCTTTAATGGCTTCAATTACAGTTTACCATACAATGTGCTGCATTGCTAATGGGGTACAATTGAGGCAGTGCAACGCAGGCTAACCTTTAATTAATCTATCAGGGAGTCCAGCTCCACGCAGGCCATAACTAATCCTCTGGGCTAAAGCCATATGACTCGGACTTGCCAGTCTGTCCCTAACAACTGGCCTTGTCCTACTCCAGCTGTGATTGGCTTCTATGAAGACACATATTGCGCAAAAGTTTACAAAAAAACATCATCACAAGCCAATATTTGACTTAATAGTTAATGCTTGGTTTACAAAATACACTAGTTGTGCTGTAGCTTTGTCTCCCACTACAACAAAATATGACTTTTAAAAAGGTAGTTCATGTAATGTACATAGATATACAAACGCATCCTCATCTAATTTAATGTTAAAAGGCAGGATCTGTGTAGACAATCAAATTCAAACTTTTAAATGAGGTCCTACCTGAATGCTTTGAATGTTGCCATGTGTTTTTGTATGTATAAATTATTAAAATAGGTATGTAATACTAACACATTGTAAATACTGTAGTCCATGATACACTATATGGAATAGTAATCCCACATTATTCATTACAAATCATCAAGACTCTATTATTAGTTATTTTTAGGGACAGTGTTGTTTGATGTGTGTGTAGAGGTGTGTGTGTGTGTGTGTGTGTGTAAAGGTGCAGCACTTATTGAAGTTTCAAGATATTTCTCACAATAGCTTCAAAGCACAAACAAATCATATTCAGGGTAGTCCTACATTTCACCACAAATCCCTGTGTTACCAAACTCCTGTTGTTAAGGCTACAGATCTAGACTACCTATACTGTATGCGTTAATAACACAGTTTCCTTTTAAACCAAACCAAACATATGCAAATTGTAATTCCAGCAACAGGACATAATGGTTAATGTTTATATTATAAATTGTTATTGTAAATAATCTGCAGCCGACTTTAAACGGATCAAGAGATCAAGAAATACATACAGGAAATATGATCTCTGGCCTTCAGTGCACATGAAACTCAACTTTGCAAAAAAGCCCAGGACCTCTGTAGTTCTTTAATTTCCATAATAATAATAATAATTTTTCCTTTTCAGAATATCTCTTTCAGAGCCTGAAAGTTGTGTTAACAGGGTTTAGGGCTGATTTGATCTTGTAATCTGGGGCAGTTAATGGGCCGCTGCTGGTGCAGAGCAGAGCCCAGCGATCACAGGAGTTGGGGAGAAAGGCAGACAGAGAGCTGAATGAGAGATGAAATTAGCTGGAGGCAAAACGTCTCACAACAGCCTCTTCAAGCATTTCATTTCCCAATTATTAAGCATTTCCTTTCCCCAACAGTCCCACAGTTGCCGTTCCTTACTGTCACTTAAAAAATAATAATAATAAACACAATGTGGCCCCCATGGCACACTCAGATGAGACAGGATCGTACGCTTTGCTTCTCTACTGGAAAGAGAAAGACAGACAGGAGGACTGAGGGGACAACACAAGACACACTCATGCAAACACAAAAGCTCACACACACACCACCGTAAGATTTACAGTGTCTGCATAGAGCAAAACGCTTTTTTTTCTTTGTAATGAATCCTGCAGCAGCTCCTATTATCATCCAAACACACAGGCAAAGGAAAACGGACAACTACAGGCAGAGAGAGACGAAAGTGAGTAAATAACAAAAAAATCAAACAGAATATCCAAACAGGATCTGATGGAAAGAAAGTATAAAAACAAAAATAGGAAAGGGGGTGAGGAAGAGATACAGTCGGATCAGGATTTCATTAATTTATCAAGTTTCCCACTGCAGAGGCCCAGACAGAATATCATCATTGCAAATGGAGAATGGGATTTGTAGCTGCTGATGAGCCGGGGAAACAATGGCAGTACAAAGCCAAGGCAGATAAAGGGAGGGAGATGTCTTTATCCCTTGGGTTTTATGGTAATAGGGTCCACATGGAGTCAAACCATACCAACAGTCGGAGTGGTCAGCTTGAGAGAGTCATGAATAAATCAACACAGTCAGGCCTGCAGGAAGGCAGCAGCTCACACATGTATACAGTGAGTTGCACCTGTTCAAGGCAGCATGAACAACCTAAGTGTAAAATACACATTGATGCACGTTCTTTAAGAAATCTAAAAGGGGCCCTATTATTATTTTTCTATTTCCTGTAGTGTGTTGGTGCATGAAAATGGTCTGCAAAGGCTAAAATCCCAACGCTTCCTGCCCCCCCCCCCACTGCCTGAAACACCTCAATGGGAGTCCTGTGTTTACTTCTGTAACATAGTGACATCACTGTGTAACACTCTATTGCTTCTATTGGCTATAGCGCTCCAACACATTGTAAGCGATAGGCTAAGGGGTGGAACATCTCTAAGCATGTCACAGTCGAGGCACAACATACAAATATGAACCTGAAAATGAGCACAATAGGGCCCATTTAAATCCTGCGTTCTGTTTAAGGTAACTGCTCTTTTACTCGCATCTAGGGCTGCAACTAACTCATATTTCTATTATCGATCAATATGCCTATTTTTCTTAATTATTGAAAAATGCCCTTCCTACTTTGTCAAGGTCAAGGTTGATGTTTCTTTTGTTTTGTTCTGTCAGTCCTACACCCACATACAGTATTCAGTTCAAAATGATATAAAACAGAGAAGAGCAGGACATCTTAATATTTGAGTGTGAAAACAGCTTTTTCTGCCATTTCTGCACGAAAAGTACTTAAATGCTTAATTCATTATTAAAATTGTTGGTGATTACTTTTCTGTTGATCAACTATTTCAACTAATTGTTGAAGCTCTACTAGCATCTATTACTCAGGATCTTCTCATTCTTAGAGAAAATTATGTTGAAAATATTAAAATCAAAGTCCTTAGTGGAGCACAGGCTAGTTAGCACAAGGAGTGCAAGTTGTGGACTTCATGCACGGACAGGTTGGATATGCGTTCAGACACATCAGCCGGTGTACAGATTACACACAAACACACACAACACACCGTGGTAGCATCTGGAGGTGCCAGAGTTTGCATCCCAGCTGTCTATCTGGTTCCCTATTAGCAGTGTGTGTGATGGCCAGCCATCAATAGTGCCCAGGGGGGGGATCATGCTGCACCTCTCCATCCTCATCAACACGTCAGCTTCACTGCCCAAATTAAACTGATTAGCTGCAATAATGACTGGGCAGAAAGTGAATACAGGAAGGAAAGAGGAGAGGGAGGAGGCAATTAAGAGCCATAGCAACCCAAAACCACAGTTTCTCTTCCCCTCCTGTATGAGTGGAGAACTTGCCACTAATTTCACGTTACTTACATTTGAAATGAAAGGAAAATTAGGAGGTTAGAGGGTAGTTCAGGCCAGTGTGTCATTGTGATTATGGCTTTGTCACGACAGCGTCTTGCTGACGAGTGGGACGCACTTTTAATGGCTCGGGCAAACGTGTCAGGTCCAATCAAAGACCTTAAGCTTAGCTGCACAGCATACACACACACATCCTATATATACAGTCTATGATCCTACCCCATCCCATATTCTGTCTCCGATGACAGCAGCCTGTTCCCCGATAGCACCTTTTTCAACTTCACATGCATCCATTACACCAGAATTATACCTTTAGCCTCCGCATTGATTATTGGGACAAACCCTACAATTCCATGCAAATTCAACATTTCTCCCGTCTTCTCTGGACTCCACTCTCCGTTCCATGTCTGTTTTCAGGCTGTTGCTATTGTCATCCTCAGTCTCTACATATTTTATTACGAGATGGCTTCTGAAGGGTGCATTCAGTGCTTGTCAGTCTTTCAAAAGAGGTAAATTCATGCTTTGGCAGCCATCACAGAGATGTCGAATTTTGTCGGGGAGTCATGAGTTCACTCCAATGTCCTAGATGCTTTGTCTGCTCTCTAGAGGATAAAAGATGCCTATTATGAACGGAAAGACAGAGGCCTAACAACACAAAGACAACCGAAAGGGGTAGAATGGGTTGTGTTTCACACTGAAAATAATTCTCCAGTATTTCAGAAATGTTTCTGTTTATTTGCAAGCTAAAGCAGCAGCAGATACACAGACAGCAGGGATCTGATGAGACAGTACAGTAAGCAGATGGAGGGGGAAAAGGGCACGCTGAGTGGAGAAGCAGGACAGAAGAGCTAATATTGGAAGGTTATTACTTTATTAACACAGGGGGGAGATTAATATAACAGATCAAACAATGTTGATTTACGGAGGCGTTACGAAGCATCATAGTTTACCCATCGAAGCATTTTTCCTATCTTGAAATCCTCTTAATTGATATTCAAGCATCGCAAGCAACGACACATATTCATTTATTTGTTTCTGTGATTATGAACGGACAATAATTGAAGACTCACTTTGCTCTTTATTCTTAGCTAATCTTAATGTATATTCACGAAGGCCAACAGGGTTACTTTTCATTAAAAGTTTAGAACTGTTATTTCCCAGTTTTTGAATTGAGACAGTTTGTTACGTTATGTTGCTTTTTTTTTTACACATAACAAGCTAAGTAATTGGATTTTGGTAAACAGTGCTTGGACATCTGTTTTCCTGTACACTGCATTTCCCCCTCTTTTTTTCCCAGTGTCAAGTATCGTAATCAAAACCACAACAACAAAGAATGTCTGGAAGCATGAATGAACAGGCTTTGTACATTTGCGAATGGCAGGGGTTTGGATTGAGGCTTGTGTGTGAGTGCTGGGGGCAGGAGAGTGGGAGTGGGCGGGGGGGGGGGAAAGTGCTATGTTTGGCATGCAGCTGAGGCCCCTCAGGGCTATCGCTCCAACCCTCTGCCTCATTGTATCACTCTTACATAATGCTGTGAAAACCTTGTAACTCCAAATTTAGGAATATCCATGTTTTCACTTCAATTGGATTGCAAGGATTACAAGCTTCTCAAGGAAAACACTTCAACCCCTGGGCTTTTGAGGCCCTTTAAAACAAAATTACTTTCAACATGCATACTTTCCAGGCACACAACAAGGATGATTTTCTTAATGTAGTTCCTGAAATTCTGAAATGTCTGTAGGTTTTCACCAGACAGCAGCAGTAAGCCGAGTATCAGCCTCCGGTGTGGAACTACTGACACGGATGTGAGGGTAGCTGTGGCTGTGTGCGGTTTGATATCTGCTTAACTCTGCAGTCATCGCCTTTGAAGATGCTTCCAGCTCCGGGCAGGGGAACCTCGAAACCAGGGGACAGCTCTCTGATTGAAGCCCCAGCATTCAACCTGCATCCCTTGGTAATTGCACAGCACGAATATCAGCTTGGCTGGTTGTGGTGGGGGTGAGGGAACATATGCCTGCCTCTGTGTGACACCAGGGAGTAACGCTGGGCATAGCGGGCTTACATTGGCTTATCGGCCTCAGGATATTGGGTTGGCATGTGTCAGTGAGTGAACCTTCCATGTCTACTTGGGTTTATCATACACAACACACAAACAACATATGGCTCCCGTGTTTTAACCAGCTATTACACTCTGTCCATTGGGCCTGAATCTCTGTAGGTTTCACATTTGTCTCAGTGGTTTCTGTGGTGGCAAGCCTACAGGGAGAATGTGAGGTATAGACATGCAGAATTAGGATGTCAGTATTCAAACTATGCTCCTGTTTCCAGCAGAGGCCTTGCTGCACAGTCGAGTCGCAAAGCAAATGAGAACAAATGATTGCTGTATGTAAAAGAGGCTGGTGAAGATAAGCCACGAGATTTCTTGAATTGAAGCAATATCTCTCCAAATGGTGTTATTATGGTGAATTTGATGCTTACCACTTAAAAAGCCGGACCTGTTACATTGAGACACCCTTTTTTTTAAAACTGATAAAACCTTAATTCCATTATTTTCTCTCTGTTTGATCATTCCTCCCCTTTCATCCCACACTGTCCTCCTACAGTATGTATATGCTCTCTGTCCTCTTTTCCTGTAGCACTTTGTCTGTGTGGCTGGTTGATTGTTTTCACTTGCCCACTGACATACTAACTACCCAACGCTGACTCACTGATGATGGCCTGGTCTATCGACAGCAGCCACTGCTGTTGATGCTGATGCTGATACACTCACACGCACATTCTATCAGGCAGGACGACACGACACAGAGTACATTTGAAAACTGCAGATTCATGTGGACCGAAAAATCAGAGCATCTCCTCAAACAAAATCATGTTGCTTTGTGTCTTGTGATTACATTTTTCCTTCATGATATTAAATAAACAAGCCAGTAAGGTAATTTAATTTGTGTCTGATACAGTCATTTCTCTCACAGCAGAGAGATCTCCCAGTGTTTCAAGGCAACACTGCTTATTTTGTGAAATGTCATAAATTAGAAGAATCCTCACAACAGAATGAAATCATCAAAAGTATTTCCTATGCTTGGATTAGGCATCCAGTTGTGATGCAGTGCAGAAGATGTGTAGGGGATGGATGGGGATGCTGCAGGCTGAGGACTCATCCCATAATGAAACGTACCTGCCCGCTGTGCTTGTGTGAGCTTGGAGTAGACGACGTCAGCTGACTCGATCAGTGTTCTGCTGGTTTGGATCATCTAGAAGAAAAACAAGACGTCAAGTTAGTTTTCATTACATCTCTGAATCATACTGGGGTCTGAACACAGCACTGTGCTGAGAGGTGTTGCCACATTTGTTCATCTCAACAGCAAGTATTTGGGCTGAGCTGTTCGCTGCATTACAATTCAGCCTTAACTCAATTTATCGGGTGTAGCTGTCATATAAATGTCTTTATTTGATCACTTTAATTGGTGCAAGATCATAATCAGACGAAGAGCCTTCTTTCAAATGAATCTGTCATTTAGACACAGTACAGGACTGTTTCGCCTTGTATGCCAGATCATGATGAAGCTTGATAAAACTCACGTGTAAATGAAAGGAAGGGTGTTCAGTATTATTGCATAATAACTCAAGTGCCTTGCAATAAACCAAGTTAAGCAGGTTTGCTTTCTAAACGTTCTAATGCAAGACTGTCTAGTAAGCTATGTAAACTGTGCTCTCAGTATATGAACATGAATTCCATCTAAATTAGGGCTGCGCGATTATGGCAAAAATCATAATCACGATTATTTTGGTCAATAATTGATATCACGATTATTAAATACGATTATTCATTGACTTTGAAAACGTCAATTTATTGAACTTTAAAACAAATTAAAATAATAATTTGAACAGTATCTGTTTAACTGTTGATTACCCTGAACGTATAATTCAACTGAAAAACCAATAAATAAAATAAATGATACATTTATATTTACATTTAAATAAATAATATCAAAATAATAAATACCAATAAAAAAGATCAACAAATATTTTGGAGCGCACTTCAACAAGCTACTAAACATATATAAATATGATAAATAAATTAGACTATAAAATAAATTAGATGAAATAAGTTGCAGTGCACTGTCACAACCTAGCAATGCAAAATAATCGTTTTTTTCCGATGATGTTGTTTTTGTAATTGTGGCAGGCCAAAATCGTAATTGCGATTAAAAAACGATTAATTGCACAGCCCTAATCTAAATGACTCAATAAACTCCAGTACATCCAGAACTATTCACCAATATGTCCTTATTTAAATCACTAATCAAAACTCATCCATCCAGAACTGCTTTTAATGTGTCATTCATTTTTTTGTATTTTAAAATGTAAGTATGTGGTTTTTATAATTTAAAAATGCATTGTAATATCTATCTGTAAAGTGTCTTTGAGCACATTTTAAAAAAAGCCCTATAAATACAATTTATTATTATTATAAATCTACCTCTGTGTGTAGAGTAAATTATTATTCATAAAAGCTGCAATAATTAATCAATTAAATGATTGTTGATTGATAGAAAAATTATCTGCAACTATTTAAATATTGAATTAAATGTTACCAAAAATGGTTCCAGGTTTTCATGTAAGAACTAAAATGATGTGCTTTTACAGTAGGTTATGAACGGTTTAATGTTTAATGAGTGACTAGGATCACATTCTTTTGCATATATGAAAAGTTGATTCTAACTGGATATCTGCGTTGAAATCACATATGTATTGGTTACACAAGGAAAGAGATGTAACTTTGTATTTCCCCCTCTACTTTTTCTACATTGTTGTGTAGTTTGAGCCCCTGAGCATCCCAGGCTGAGGAGGAGCAGCTGCAGCAGCCCCGCAGCATCGAGGAGGAACATAATGAAGTTTCACACTCCTTGTTAGCAGGGAGACAGGAAGTGGACTCTCGTGTTGTGTGTGTGTACACATGCCTGCCTTTTCATGTTTTGATATCCTCATGGGAACTGGTTTGTGAAAGTGTGAAAAGGTTTTGTCAGGTGAACTCATTTTGGACAGTCCCATCAAAAGCGTGATGGTTTTAAGATAGGAATCTAAAGGAAAATCATACGTAGAATTGTTGATGCCTTATTTATTAAGTACTTAATAAACCTATATTTCCAATCATGTATTTCTTACCGAAGCAAACCCTGAGTAATGTAAGAGTGAAAGCAATTATTTTCCAACAGCAGCAAGGAAAGGTCTTGAATGCTAAATGCTTTATGTCTTATAGCTGCACTGCAAAATGACGAGTCAAAGAAAAAGCTCAGAATCTCACTTCAATTCAGCAATACAAAACTTTTAGCTGCACTTTAAATATATCAACCCAAAGAAAATAATTAAAACACACCAGTATGAACACAATTAAGGTCTGTACACAATGGTGGTTTTGTGTTTAAGCATCTGGGTCCTTAATGGTTACGAAAGGAATGTTATCAATGGAAGAAACGTAACTGTGTGCATTTACATAACTTTACATGTGTTAAAGCTGTGTGTGTGTGTGTGTGTGTGTGTGTGTGTGTGTGTGTGTGTGTGTGTGTGTGTGTGTGTGTGTGTGTGTGTCTGTGTGTGTGCTGACCCTTTTATTAAGTTCAGGGTTACAGCGTTTGCTGGCTGCAGCCCACACGGGGGTGAATGAGGACACGCACAGCTCACTGATGTGGTACAGTAAATGGCCGAGTGTTGGCAGCCATGAACTCACATGCATTCACACACACCCTCCACACTCCACACACTGGGCCCTCTGTTATTGAGCGGGGAGCCTGCCAACAGGGAGCAAACACAAAGACTCAGCTGACCAGGCCCAAGCCTCAAGACAAGTCCATAGGTTATTATTCAACATCAAAGTGCAAACCACTGAAGTAGTTCAATATAGAGAAAAAGCTGTAGTACTTCGCTTGTGTAAGTTCTAGGCAATTACCAGGTCAGTAACAATGATGGGACCTGTTATTATAGGTTGATAAAAGAGACAACATTTTTTGGTGAAACCTGAGAATACATGTTAACGCGTCTAAAATGATAACATAGAGATTACGGTTCTACTTTTCTGCTCTTCTTTCACGTTTTCTTTTGTGGACTGGAGCGTGTGAGTTGCTCAGACAGTACCAAACCTCCTGCCAAGCGTGAGGCCTCATAAAAGCCCAAGCAGGTTCTATTTGGAGACGCACTTTCTGCTCTCCTGATGTCACTCGCTACGTCACAACTGAAGGCATCAGCAGCGAGAGCGCCGACAACCTGAGCAGAGCGGACGCAACAACCTTGTTTCTATCTCATGACCCATTTCACCAGCTCCCACCAAGCCTCACAGGATGGAAGAGGAAGCAGCAGGTGATAACTAATTACAGTCCTCCATCCCACTCTTGGGCGAATGTCAATGTCAAGTGGTGAAAGAAAGCAATGTTCTTGTAATAGAGGTGACAGGATGGAGAAAGACACGTGAGATTATAAAAGGAGAAGCTGCATCATGACAATCTGTCTGGCTTAAGTGATGGCTTCAGCTAAATTAAGAATGTTAAACATATCCAGGTTTGTGAATCCTTACTGTAAGTAGATTTTCTTAGGTAGTGAAACAGCCTGAGTTTCTCATTTCTATTGGATTTGTACAGTTCTTCCTTGCTTTGACAGTTACGTTAGCCTGGTTGCTAGCGGTATGGTGCTAACTATGAACAAGTAGATCGATCGAAACAATGGAGTCCTTTGATTTGAGAAAAACAGAAAGAAACCAACAATGCCCAGCCTTGGAAAACATAGAGGAATAAATGCTTTAACCGGTTTAATTTGTAAAGAAAATACTTGTTTAGAGTATTGCTTATGTGTGTAATTCCATTGTCATTCTTTCCCAACAGTGTGAGCATTCCTATTTGCCTGACAGCATCATATTCACTCTTTTGTGTTTGTGCGTTTTATTTACCATGTCATAGGCATTGAACACTTTGCGCAGCAGCTCAGGAACCGGACCCTGAGCCTCCATGGTGGGGTAGGTCTCGCTCAGGTCCAGCGTTACCCTCAGTGACCGCTCGCTGTTCGTCAGCCAGGTAGACACGGTCAGGATACACTGCTTCATGTTAGCGGCCGGGGTCAGGCCGCAGAGCTCCTTGAAGGACACCGTGGCATTCTGGGAAAGAAAACATCCACAATGAAGGAAAGAGATAGGGTAAAAGCACTTGAAAAACACATAAATAAAACGTTTTAACTTTGTATGCTGCATTTGAGTCATCTTGGTTTAATTTATTACATGTTTCCTAAATTAAGTTGCTTTGAGGAGCAGTATTAATTAAAAGTAAGTGTTAAATAGACCAGTTCAAATAAATAATTACACATTAACATCCTGAATGTCCTTGTGCTCTGAACCTATTTGCTGTAACCAAAGAAACTAAGGCAAATTTGTGTAGGGTTATTTTGCTTGACAAATGAGGTGATTGTGGCCCGATAGAATGGCAAATAATGCTAACACTTTTTGCATATAACCTTGAGTGAGTCGATTTAATTAGAGGCAACTTGATACTTCCCTCAGAGCTGAAACGAGATAAGACAGCAGCGAGTGTTTGTCTTGGTGACAGTAAAACTATCTGTCTCCCATAACGTCAGTCTGCTCATTCAACAGCCCCCTGGCTCCGGAGCCAAACCTCTGACCACAGCCTGAAGGTCTTTAGTACAAACGTTAAGTAATTACAGAAGCATTCTTTTCCCTACGTTCCGTTTCTAAATGAACCGCAGGCCATTCAAGCTCTCTGCTGCTAGACAAATATATATAAATATACTCGTCTTGATTGTTGAATGTATCACTGATAACAAATCTTATTTTTTCATCAGGGGCAGCTGTAGGTCAGTTAGTAGAGCTGAACTGCCATCAATCTAGGGCTGCACGATAATGGCCAAACTGATAGTCACGATTAATTATGTCAATATTGAGGTCACTATTATTTCACTAAATTATGGATTTAAGGGACAAAATATTTGTATTGCCCTTTCACATTTAAAATCAACAGACTACTGCTTTCAATGTTAGGTTGTTCTACATTCTATCATATTGTCAAATCATCGCATCCTAATCAAAATGACAATAAGGCGATTCTTCAACTGCATTTCAGTGCTTTTATAGTTTTAGCCCTGATATTGGCTAATATTGCTATGTTTTCTCTACAACTCTCACAACAGAGCAGATGCAATGTTTGTGAGCAGCAAGCCCTCTTTGCAGTCCTCCACTGCCAGAGTTTCGGAAATACAAAGCAGGTACTAGAATTGGTACTTTGGAATCCTTCCACACACTCTACAGTCTGCAGTGTGGGAACCAGCCGTCTCCCTGGGAGAGACCTCCAGGCCTGCAGAAAAATCCCCCTCATCGCCACCCCCACCATTCCCCAGAGGATGTGCTGTCAGTGCGGCGCCCAACCTTCCTGTAGAGTAGACGAAGAGGGTGGCCAAGGGGCGCTTTCGGCATCTGTATGCTTAGCCTCTGCTACAGTTAACACCACTTAGAGCAGAGCCATGAGAGGAAACACAATGGTAGAAGCGGGACAGCTCTGAAACCCTGTGTGTGAGAACCACGAGCCTCTATGACTGCATGTTATTAGCATTAATTTAGCTTTATATGATTCCCTGCACGTATGTATGAAACTGCATGCCTGAATGTTTTTCGCTAACTGTTGTGCGATAAAAGCCATACTGTTACCAAGCTATGGTGTTGAAATTCACCAATGAGAGGCTTGTGTTTTTAATTACTCCCTCCCCCACTTTACTCCCATTCTAACATTCCCTAAATGAGAGCTCTGTGTCTTGTTACAACACAGCTTTTGTTTCTGTTTGCTCCTCTCGCTCTCTCTTTTGCTTCAATCTGTCTCCTCTTCTCTCTGGCCCACAGTATTGAGTGGTGGTGAATGTGACCATGGTGGCACGAACACACACACAAACTCACACACAGACATACACATACATGCTGTGTGTAGCAAATAAAATAGACTACAGGCTGGCAGCTCTCCTACACCTCCATCAACACTTACAGTTCATGGGCTGCTGCACTCTGGACTTTATTCAAGGTTCCCACGGAAATAATTGATTTGCTGCCCAGATCCACATATAAAACATGGCAACCTATCATATCTGCCCACTGGTCAATGTTCATAGATCTCCTTGCTATTTTAAATAGTCCTAGACACTTGTATTTATGTTATTAATAAAAGCAGAACCCCTGTAAGCTTTGCTGTTGAAGGATAAAGGAGTCTTAAAGAGCTTAGTGAGGTGAAATAACGCTTTAAGCCGTGACATCTAAATATGTTTCTGTGTGCATTGCTTTCATGGCTAAGGTTGTAGGATGTGATATTTGGGATTTGTGTGAGTCTGAGTACACAAGGTAATTCTTTCTCACTTTAACGTCTAATCAAGTAGGGTTGGCAAAGCCTCCAGACTTGGCTTTGTGGTTGCCTTGTGGCTTTTTGGCCAGCGACCCTTCCTCTTCCCTCCAGCTCCTTTCAGATTAAAGGCTCCACACAGCTGGTCTCTACAAAGCTCTCACAACCGTCCATTTTTTACATTTGAAAGGCAAAGGCCTTGTTCCTTATTGCTTTTCCGTCACTTTTATCTCTTCATTTCAAAAAGAAAAATTTACATTTCAAACCTGAGGAAATTGTGGTTTGCGGAGCGGTTGCGGTGCCAGTGTTGTTTGATCAGGTTAAAAGATGCCGACTCACATCTAATTGTATAGTGACATTTTCTGTATTATAAATTAGATTAGTTTCCAAGGCCATTAATAAGTAGAGCTGCTTCAAAGGAACAGAGCAGCTTTAAGAGTCAGCGGTGGCAGGTGATACCTGTAGTTATTTCACAAGTTGCATACATATTTGATAAGGTGGGTTTTACAAAAGTAAGGATGTGCTTGATAAGTTTGAGTCAGATTTACAGGGCTGACTTTACAGTGAGCCGTATTTCATGTTTATTTATGAAATGGTCCCATGGGGACTCACACCCAAACATAGATATGGCCCTATTCATGAAAAACAATTGAGGTAACAATTTGTCAATAATTTAGATTATTCAAACAAGCAATTTGGCCAAATATTGTAATATTGTGCCTAGTTTTTCCTCATGAAGTTACTTGAATTGCCTTCCTCCAGTACCTTAATACTACCTCTAAAATTACAGGATCAATTTCACCTCCCGGACACAATCCTATTTCTCTCCTTCTTTGATTGTTGAACATTGACTATTTCCACAACCCAAAAATGCCTGACAGCATACCAGAGTCTCTCTGATTGCATCTCTGCTTATTTAGTTTGTTCTGGTCTTTTGTTTGCTGTGACATTAGACGGAGGTTTGGCTTACTGAAGACAGATGGACAGATCTTGGTATTTATGACCTGGATACACAAAAAAGGACTGTGCTACATTAGCTTCAGATAAACATGATGAGTTTGACAACATTATATGTTTTATTTTGTTAAGCTTGCAAGAGACAGGTTAAGGCAGGACATGACAGAAGACAATCAGTAATCAGAATCTACTACCTGCTACCATGTTTTGAAAGTGAGATGTACATAATCAAGAGGACAGCAGGTCGAAAACCTGGCAGATAAATCCCATCCTCTCGTCAGCCATATCGAGCTTCTGAGCTCAGGGAGGCACTTTAAAGTAACTCGGGCAACATCAATATTCTTACAAAATTCAATATACATACATTTAAGTGACCTTTAATGTGTTACTAATTGCTTGTCTGATTTTAGTGTTGTTGTGTCTTGTGTTTGGTGAGCCATTAAGAAGCCAGAGGAGTTATTTGTTTTATTTTTGTCCATTATTTATGGGAAAACGTCATAATGTAAGTTGTCTTGTTTGGTAACTACATTGCCAAAGTACTTTGATATACATTGAGAATATCACCAAAACAAAATTGCGTACTGAACAAATGAAACTATCATCGTATCACACCCTTCAGTCATCACAAACCAAAAGAAACATGCACTAAAAGGCTTCTGCTACAGGTCATCTGACAATTCAATGCTGCGGTTTCTCATTTTCTTTAGAGGAGTTTTAAATTAGTTCACTAAGTGCCTAGCAACATAGTCTTCTCCCCTTGGCAGTAATTGTCTCTCATTAATGATTACACTATTCATAAACCTCCTAATTGTACAGCAATGTTACTTTATTACCAATCTCTTGTACTACATTAATACAGAACAATTAGTCACAAGACTATATCCACAACAACAATTAAAATGGTCCCAACCAGAAACACTTACATCAGTTTTGACCTACTGAAGCAATTCAAGGTTATGTGATTATAATTGGTGAAAATGGCTTTTCTGTCTTTTCATATCTTAACTTTAAACCCAATAGAAAAATAAACATGAAGAATCTACTGTAACATGACATATTTTGTTCACAATATTTCTATGGAGATTGCTAAGGAAATTCTGTGCCTGGGGGCAACACCTGTAAGTGCATACAGTAGATTTGAGCTGTCATTTTCTCCAGCAAAGCCTCAGCCGTATAAGATGTTATGCAGTTTGAAGAAAAGGAGCAGCTTTGCAATATTGCCAATGGTAAGCCATTTACACACTGAACATCCAATTTAGTTAGCAGAAGGCAAGTGCAACCAATCTTTTTTACGGCACTGGGATCTGAAGTTTTGCAATTTCTTTACTATTTGAACTGTCTTTACCCAGTAAAATGTTAAATTATTTAATTAAACTGTTGGACTACAACCCATCAATAGTAACAAAGAGTGATCTATTACTCTATTTGACCTGTACAGCATTATCAACATTGATAACCTTTTGCAAAATGTAAATCTCCTGCTCTACACAACCCAATGTGTCATTTTTAATGGTTTTATGATAAATGTGTAGTACTTTAAGTGTGTAGTCACTTACCTGCACATTTTCTCTGAGGTCTGTGGCCTCCCTGAGGGGCTGGGTGGAAGCTCTGAAGAGTTCGTCCACCACTTTGATCCCTGTGGTCTTGGTGGTGGTGTACTCCCGGGCCTTTCTACCCTTCCTGACTGACAGACCCCTCTTATGAGCCTTTCCTCCACCCCGCCTGTTGGTGATGGCTACATGGATAAAAAGAGTTGTGTTTGGTAGGAACTCTCCAGTCAGAGATTGTAGAGGGACATGTCTGTAGCCTGGCTGTAGGCACTCAAATGGGATAGTGTACTGGCCAATGAACTCATCGCCAATGTAGTCGTCATCCAGCACGACAAAGCGCAGTACTGCAAGTTCTGGCAAATTGATCTGGAATTCAAAACTCTCATCAAAAATAGGGTTGTCACCATTCTGAGACACAGTCTTGGTTCTCTGTTCAGCACAGTCAGCTGGGATGCCGTGAATCTCCACATATATGTAGGGCTCCACAACATCACCCTTGGCTGCAGAGCCACGAGGCTTAGGCAGATTCTGCCCACTGATGACCTTAATGTGAAGAAGCTGAGCAGACACGCCTGGCAGCGAGTCACGAGCATTGGCACTGAAGTAGGACACCTCCTCCCTCATGATGGCTGGCCGCAGAACATACCCACAGTTACCATTCTGCCTGAACCAGCCAAGGTTGAGGTCCATCATGAGGCCTGGGGTTTGGTAGTTCATGGCTACTATCTGGCAGCCACACTTCCAGAAGTCTTGGGGGTTCATGTTGCTGGCATCAATTCTCATTGGTGTGGGATATACCCTGGAGAGATAGCGCTTGTTATAACAGACAAATTCCTCTGGGAACTCATTGGCATATCTGTTTGCATCTACCTCATTGAAGGAGCAGATGTCCCAATGTTTTTGGTCTCTCTTAGAGATTTCAAAGTCCCTAAACTGGACTGACTTGCAGAGAGTTACGAGGTCAGAGAGCTCCCTGCACAGCCTCAGTCTCTTGTAGCTTAATCCATTGAGCTGGTCCTTCTCATTACCTCCCACTCTTCGAGACATTTCCAGACCCTCCTCCTCATCCGTCACATCACCCTCAACATCAGTGCAGTTGGGCGGTAACTTCTTACCCTTGATGAGGATTTTACATTTGAGTTTCTCAGGGGAGGGGAGGTATATGTCCTCCTTGTTTGGGGGCTCAACACACAGCTTGTCCCCAATAATCTTCTTCATATGCTGCGCCATGACTCTCTGTTGAGGGATGCAGCAATGGGTCACCAGGCAGAGAATCAGGGGATACTCAGAGCTCTCAAAAGCATATTGGTTTATGATGTCCAGGACTTTAGAGAAAGCTAGATGTGAGGCTACAGAACTACCCACATACACAACTGGTTCATTATCAGGGCCATCCCATACAATGACCTCAATGCTGCGGCAGCCCATTCTTAGAGCTCGGATGTAGCTGCTGATATCTGCAGATCCCCAGAAATGGTCTTCCAGAAGTGAGGCATTATGTGACGAGTTGATGTAGTAGTGGGAAAGAGGCTGGCTCATATCCTGGCACACACGTTTGTGTTGGGGGTCAAAGATGTGGCATTCAGAGGAGAGGAGGTAGTGTGTAAAGCCGTCAATGGAGAGGTAGGCCCTCTCCCTACCTTCGGCGGATGGCTCAAATTTTTGAACAATTTCCCGGCACATGTCCTCTGTTACTGCTTCCACACCCTGCTCCACCTCCACAAATAGCATCAGATCTTTACTGTCCAGATATTCCTTGTTACTGGAGAACTGCACCATTAGGAAGAAGATCTCTGGTCGTGTGCAGAGCTCACAGTAGGCCTCTACAAAGGTGTCCATGTTAATTGCCTCTCCATATTGGTCTTTAGCTTTCTGGAGTTCCTTGAACTTCAGCTCTATCCTAGACTCTTTCATACCAGGGTTGAGCCCCTTGATTATCTGGGTGGCCCTGAACAGATCTATGTGTCCTTCCTTTTCCATATCTGCCAGCTCAAACACTGAGCCAATCCAAGATGTTCGAAGACTCGGTTGGCTTGGTTCCACCATATTCACCGTGTGCCGGCCATAAGACACCAGATATCTCAGGCCCATCACCCAGGTGCTGACAACATCGGCTGTACTGGCTACCAAATCTAAGGACTCATAGTTATCCCCGTAGATGATTGAGAAGGCGCATTCATCAGGGAACTGGTCTGAGAGACCATTACTGCGGAGAACTGGAGTTTTCTTTCCCAAACGCACCTCCTTAATGCCCTTTATCTCCAGTTTTGCTTTCTCTGAATCTTTCTTGGATGGTTCCCAACGGAGCCAGTGCATGTCTGGATCCAGCAGGAAATATCGGTTGTACATGCGTGAGTTGGAGCGCACCTTCTTCATCTCACAACCCTCCATCATGAAGGCCATGCAAGCAGCTGTGCTGTTGATCTTGCGGTCACTTGGCATTGAGCTGAAGGACACTGTTTTCTTCCTCACCTGCCTCTGTTTGGAACCATCCTGGAAAAACAATAGGGATGGGGTGGTAGGGAAGAGAAGGATTTCATGGTTAAACTTTGTAACTGAATGCACGAAACAGCAGTGTACTGTACAGTGCAGTGGGTTTACTGTGCACATGGCAAAAAACAACCATGATTTATTATGATACAAGGCTAAAAGCATCATAGATACTTATTTGCTTGCTAAAATGCATATCTCCTTGTCTTATTGTTCTCCTCCTTAAATTGCACAATTTTATGTAAGGGTAGATTAACTTCTGGGGCTTTCCTCTGCACACGTTGGATTATGCTGTTATTCATGAGGTCTGTTTCTGTTTGAAACAGGACTTCTTGCTCTAATGATGGGTTACACAACTGGAGATACAATTTTGCCTTGGCTCAAGTCACAAGGGTTTATCTCTCGGACAAAGTTAAGGCTTAAAATTGGCTTCAAGTTACCTTATAACTGCAAATGATATGTGGTTGAATACTCATCATGTGGGCGACCTGCCCATTCCAATGACATGTTTCTCTCTATATCCAAGGCAAAAGCCAAAGTAAAATAAAAAGAAGTAAAACAGATGTGCCAAACATCACCTGTCACACACCACCTGACAATGCTGCACTTTTTCAGCTTGTAGGTCATGAGCCTGGCTGGCAGAAAGCAGACAGACAACACTGCCCTATTTCCACACAAAGTCGTGGTTAGCTAGATAGCCTGAATGCAAATGGCCTGGTTTGGGCTTGGAAAAAAGACTTGTTGAATAATGCAAACCACATAGAAGAGAACATACAAATCTAAACTCAACCCAACCCCAACTTACTGTTGCATATTAAATATTCCAGTCTTCAAGTCATTGTTTGAATTCAGATGACAAATTCTTTTAAATACAATGTTGTCAGTGGTGTCGTTTGATTTCTTGCAAAACCTCCAATATTCCTTGTTTCATGTCTGTTTAGCATCTTTAGTTCAAAGAAAGAAAGCTTGAAATAGCATGGAGCCGCAGGGCAGTGAGCATCGTCTTCCCCCTAGGTCTGATGGATCTGTCCTGAGCGTGGTTCAACTGTAACCACAGTGAAATCCCTCTGGAACATCCATCTTCTCCATGACGATCAGAGGCAGATGACATGCGACACCGTACAGCGGTTAATGAGCACCACTTGATGCAAAGCTGAAGATATGACATGATCATCGCTCTCTGCTTTTGCCCTTGTTTTACGACCTCATCTCTTCCCCCAACTCAAAATCATAATTTACAAATATGTAGTAAAGATACATATCATTCTACAATGTGATGAAAATAGCTTTTGGAAAATCTAGTCAGTAGCTACATTGTTTTACACCAGATGGTGTGCTGTGGCCTGATGATGCTAAGACCACCCAGGTCAAAACCATTGCTCACTATGTGTTAGAATAGTTATTCAACCATTTATGTTCTCCCCCCAGAGATGTACTTGCATGCAATCGTTAGTGCCAAGACCCACAGGCACATGGTATTGCATGTACCCTTGCCAAGACTGTGAGGGTAAAGGGGGTTGCTATTGGTTCAGCTGGAGGACAATACAATTCCTACACTTTCACAGAGGTAACATAGGGCTTAAAATAACTCCATATTTGTCTCTTTTTCTATGCCATTGATTCCTCCGCCCACAACAATCATGGTGCTTGTAGTTGAAGATAAATCTGGAGGATGTTGTCAAGAGATCACAGAACGACAGAAATGTCATGCTCTTTTGTTTCACTATCCAGCTCTTTTAGCCTTGTATGAGGAAAAACCTTTCTTGCCCATTTGAGAAAAAAGTCCCAAAACACAGTTGGTCACTCATCTGCTTTGTTATTTTGCAGTATGCAAAAATCAATGTGGTATTAGGGATATTTGAAGAAAGTTCTGTGAGATAGAAAGCAGACTGAGCAAGTGGCAAGAGAAGGATATTTGTTCAGGTCTGATTGATTCCAGGCATTCTTTACGGAAGTGCTGGAGCCACACGGGGTCAAGGAGTGCAAGGGTAATCTTGTGTCTCATTAACATGCTGTTACAATTAACTAGACAGCCAGGTAGGATGACATGCTGCTCAGCTCCAGCCTCTCAATCAAAACAAGAAGGCAGAACGTATCTTTAGGGGTTGCTTCACACACTACTAAATTATTCTTATTGAATCTAAATTCAAAATCATAAGGCTAGTGATCTAGAGGTAAAGAAATAATCTCTTGGCTTGCCAGAAATATGTGGGTGTACTGTGTATTCACATATATCAAAAGATAAGGACCAAAACATGTTTTTAAACGTTTTCATTTTAGGGTTAGGGTCATTTTTAAATCCCCTACACGCAGCTGTCTTTTTTCCATTGATCAACCACATTGCACTCTCTCCATTTGATCACAGCCCCTGAGGACTTTCATGGTAGAGATGTCAGTATTTGTGTTGGAGTGTGCGTGTGTGCGTTTGCGCGCGCGTGTGTGTGTGTGTGTGTGTGTGTGTGTGTGTGTGTGTGTGTGTGTGTGTGTGTGTGTGTGTGTGTGTGTGCGCGCTTCTGGCTAGGCTGCCTGTTGCAGCTGTGAAGTGGGGGTATTTCGGTAATCTTCCACACCTCCCCCATCCCCTTTCCTGTGGTGCTGTGGCCGCCCGGGGCTGGGTCAAACACTCCCTGATGTAAGGGTGAAGCTGCTGTGGATGGGGGCAGAGAGTGGGACGAGTCCACTGATTTCCTCTGAAGGGCGGTGGTATGTCACACTCGCTTTACCTCCTGTCACTGTTGTCACACCCTGACGCTGGGCGCCATGAGCAGCACCACATGGGAAACTTAACTCCAGGGAGGCAATTAATGCTACATGAGCTCTGAGGTTGCCCGTTACACTGCAGAGCCCCGCTGAGTGGAGTATGCCAAAACAATAACTCCATAGAATGGTACTGCAGGGCACAATAGACATGCTATTTTCAGAGACTTCTTAACTATAATAATCATAATTCCGATGTTATGGTTATTTCCTCTCTAAACCAATATGCTGTTGATCTTGTTTTAGCTTTTCTGTTCTGTACCGTCCTGGATCCTGGAATGCAGCACTATATAAAAAAAGGAATGCCTGCCCAATGAAGCTGCAACACAAGCACCTCAATAAAAAACTGAAACGGCTTCCTCGGCTCCCTGATGATTTTTAATGTCAGAAAGCACCAACTAAAAACGAAAAAGTCCTTTTGCTAAGTAATTCTACTGTAGCTCAACATTTGAAAGTTCAAAAGAGCATATTGGTCAGCCATTGGACTATAAACTGTTGGTTTGAGTTTTCAACCTGCTTTTAAACACATGGAGTATGAATCTTAGCCCTAAGGGTCTTCCTGTGGGATGCTGGACACACTGCCTCTTTCACTACCCACTGGCCCACTTCCTCCCCATCCCACCAAACCTCAAACAATCCCACCTCCTTGTCACGGCTGGTCTGGCTGCCTGCCACTCGCTACTCCTCGCCCCTATCATATCTCCACTCCAAAAAAGGGGTCGGCAGAAAGTAGTCAGGCATGGCTAAGCTCCTCTCGCCCACAGAGTTACTGTGTCATTTGTGTGTGTGCAGGGAGAATAAGGCAACAGGGGAGCGTGGGTATTGCAGTCAGAACAGATCCCTCTTGATGACGTGCTCTCCAAGATGAGTGAGTCACAGTATATTGTGTTGTCTTTGCCTGCATGTGTGCTGAGGGATCATAGGATAAGTGTCTACACACATATAGGACATGCTGACAGACGACTTGTCACAGCTACGCCACATTACACAACAAATGCCCATATTGACATGTCAAACACTGAGAAATCCAACACTCGCAGACACCACAACGACATGCTTACAGAAATGTTTTGCTAAAGCGATGTCAAAATGCCCTGTGTTATTCTGAGTAGCTAACACTTTTTCAATCTCTGACAAGTTAAACATATCTTCCCCTTTATTTTTTGATTAATGATTTTCATAAAAGTAGCTGTCGTTCATGCAAGTGCTTTCTGGATGAAAGATGAAGCAATACTTCACTGTCTCCAGGTTGAATAATTTCAACTATTTTAATCAACTTTTTATTTAAATCTTTATATGAATGAAAAAGTATCTGTACTTTTTTTACATGAATTCTCAAATACATTTTGGTCGATTCAAATGTGTACATTCAACAAAAGCGAAAAATAATGAATTACAGCACAATCTAAATCGACATGTGAAGGTCATATGATAGTCATGAGTGTTGTCTTTTTTTGGGATCCTTCACTTCAGAAGCACTAAACGAGAAGAGCCAAAGAGCCTTGAAGGATTTCACAGCTCAGTAAGCCCCAGCGTGCTTGCATGAGGTAGGTGGGAGGTCATCTTGAGAACATCCCTTCCCCTCCTCATGTCTGCGCTGCCCAGCTCTACCCCCGGGCCCCACACATCCAACATCCAAGATGGTTACTCAAACTGACATCTGAATCATGCCGCGCAGAGTTAAGGCAGACATTATTCAGCCTCTAACAGACTCTACTCCAGAAATCTGGGAAAGAATCGGAGAGTAAAGTGGATGTATGCTGAGATTGTGTATGTGCAAGAAAGAGTGATTGACGGTAATTGAGAAAGAGAGAAGTTTAATGAGCTGACTTAATTTGTTTAGTTGTTTTGGCGATGCTGTTAAACCTCAATGCCAATAAAGCAAATTAAATCAAATTGAAAAGCTTGAATTGTCATAGGGGGATAGGGAGGAGAGAGATGGAGAGACAAATACAATGGCAGTAACATTTTGCCAGGCAGGATGGCATTGTTATATAAGCGTCTCCAAATTCAAAACAGATTCTTCCGGAATAAGAGATGCGAGGGAGGGATGGAGAGAAAAAAAACGAGAGGGAAAGAGAGTCAGGGGGAGAGAGAAGTCTGGCTGTCACTGTTTGTCACTGTAATCTCTCATGTGGGCGACTGCTTTAATCTTACTTAGCCGCAAATCGTGCAACTCATCGCACCATCTTCACCATCATATTTCGCAAAGCGTCATATTTTATAGGCAAGAAAATTGAAGGTCT